GCATTTATCGTACGTGATCAACGCACAGGTTAAAGCCAAGAAAATTAAAAGTATTGGATTCAAGAACACAAAAGCGAGCTGCACACTCTCCAATGTACAACTCGTAAACTATATGTAGGTTTAAGACTACTGAGTAATTGACATGTACCCTGTACGTGTAAGTAGCCGCTAGATTTATAAAATTTCTGTTATTTAAGAGTATATTACTAACAGGCGGTGCACATTAAATGTTCTGAATCTAAATTTTAACTCATGTCATTTGTGAAACACCGATGCCCCTTATTACTGTTTATGGCGAAGGTTAGAGTTCCTCGAATGCAAGTTTAACTCCAAGGTCAAGAGATAAAACATGCTGTTACATAAGATACAGAAAGAAGGAGTTGTATAAATGAATTCAACTGAATTATGAAAGCAAAGTACAAATCGTACAAAATTTATAATCGAAGTTAAAGTTATTTAAAAATTAAAAGTTGGTCAAACCCCAAAATTAAGGTAATAGGGTAAAATAACTGGTATATATAATAACTTTTGAACAAAAAGATACACGTGAAATATAAATCCTTAATTGTTCAAAAGTTATATCCAAAGTTGAAGTTTTGAAACAGAAGGTCAAATTTCAAGGTCAATTTCTAAAAATGACAGAATTGTTGCTATCCAAACGAAGGTCGTGTCACAAGGACTACACCTGTGAAATATGATAGCCCTGGTTCTAAATGTTCAAGAGTTATAACCAAAGTTAAGGGTTTTTAAAGTGGGTCAAATTCCAAAGTCAAGTTCAAAAGGTCAAAAGTATTGTATTAAAAGGAAGGTCATATCACAATAAATACACATGTGAAGTATGTAGCCCTAGCACCAACTGTTCAAAACTATGGCCAAGGTAAAGTTTGATAAAATGTTGCAAAAGTGGACCAAACTCCAAGGTCAAGGTCAGTAGATCAAACATGTTAGTACCCAGAGAAAGGTCTTATACAAGGAATGTACATATGTAAATATAGTTTTGGGCAAGGTTAAAATTTTCAAACAAACAGACAGCCAGATGGACGGACAAGCAAAAAACTATATACATGTGTCCGGAATCATCGAATCTTCGACTACAGGGTCCAAAGAATGTACTAAACATAAAAGCGTGAGTTTAATCTTTAAAGATGGCATACTAGAGACAATAATGTCTTTTTATTACTAACTATAGATGCATATGATTGTTTGAGTTCTTCAAAAATACATCTGTAAGGTTAGGAAGTCTATAGAAATATAATTGGTACCGACTTAAGATAGGTTTAGTAGAGGTAGTTTAACTACAGGCGAGGTCAGTTTTAGAATTTTAGGTGACATGGTCTAGAAAATATGGTTTGAATTCTTGTACAAGTGTGCTGGAGAAGAAAAAAATGACATCTCTTGGTGACTTTTGTTAAAAGTGTTTGTGTAAAGTTTCAGCGATGTTCACAGAGGGCGAGAGAATCACTCGAGTTTACAGATTTACAAATCATATGAAGTACTACAGCTGAATTTTTTCCTTCGTAGACGGACGATATATTTCATTGAAGACAGATAGATGACGATGCATATTACAACTACCTTTAAATTTTTGAGGTCAAAATATAGGTCGAAGACTAATGAAGGTCACAAATTCATATACTAGTATTTGGAAAAATTGTTTTCATAAAGATAACATGTGCTTTTTCAATTTCAGTTTATATCATTCCTTTCTGTGTCATTAGGAGACTACCCATACGAAAATGTGCAGTTAAGAATAAGATGACCACTTGGCCCTTAGTTGAATCCTAGTACTTTTAAATTCTTTATGTGAAAAAAGAGTTGACCATAGTTTAACACTTCGACTTCGTGAGATCTTGCAGAGTTGACCATAGTTGACCACTCAGTGTTAGAAAATCTCTCCTACATTTATATCTCTGTATATATATACAATTGTAAAATTGCGATGAATTTAATAAAATCGGTTCAGTTCAGCTCATGAGTGTGCACAAGGGTAGAGAAGGAGCTTGGATATTCTTGAATATAGATTCAAGTTGACAAAAGACTCTTACTAGTATCATCGAGTTCTCTCAGCACAGAGATATTGAAAGTTTGAATTGAGTCGGCAATCTGGGTTCCATGAGGTTGAACTGAGTCTTGTAGAGGTTCTTTGAAGTTAAGTCTGACCCTCTTGGGCGTTCTTAAGAGCTAAACCACCTACATTGTCTTTATATATCATTGTAACTAACATGCATTAGTGGCAAAAGGAGCGGCCAAGTATCTTAATTTCAATGATGGAAGCTCTGCAAGAACATAAGAACAGTTTAGAAATTTAAAAGTACCAATTACTAACTGTACCTATATTTTGAAGCAATTACAGAGACCAAGAAACATATTCATTAATCGGAGAAATTCTTCATGTTCGTTTGCTCTATGTTAAGATTTAAAGAAAACTATGCTTAAAATTTCGTTGAAAATAATATATTCAACATTGTATTTGCACATATTAACATTTGAGTAATTTTTTTCTCTCTTGAAAACTAATATATATCTGTAGGAGGAAAAACACTCATCAAGTTGTTGTTCATGTCTCTCCCCTTATTGACATCCTCACCCCACAAATCAATTATAAACAAGCGCCACTTAAACAGCACCACTCAGAACATTTGTACCTAAATTGCACAGCCCTGTTAAAATGTTCGAATCACTTCACACGCTCCTTAACATGTAAAATTTCTTGCATTTTGATACTGACTGACAATTTTAAGAATTTTTAAAAGAATGACCAAACTTTGCAAGCTCATGTACTCACAACAATGCGTCTTACAAAGTGCACGTGCCCGCAGGGATTATCTAGTATTATCTGAGAAAATACTGCGGCTGACCCCGATAATTAGCAGACGTACCCAATTACTGGGTTAATCATGTCAAGGCGCGGGAATTCTTCTGAAACGTCTGCTCTGACTTTTTTTTACTTTTTGTATGAATTAAAGTCAATAACATGAATGGGATGTGAAGGAGAAAATTTCTGACGCATGTCCCTGACGTCTAGACGTCTTTGAAGAGGCTTTATATGACGTCACTGACGTAGTGAAGAAAATGTCTTTTAGCTTCTATGATCAAAACTTCAAATCGTTAACCAACAATAAAGCTATGAATAAAGAAAATGATAATCTTATATACGTTTACATACAATTTAGTCATGATTAATTTTATACATCTCATCAAAAATATATTTCTAGGCGAAGAAGGACAAAAACTGCGAGTTTTGGAACAAAAGTTGTTTGAGATGATACGAGATGAGTATCCGGAATTTTCCGAATCGACAGGACTGGCCGAAAATGACGGAAGAGCAGAGTCCTACACATTCCAAGCATTCGAAAGACGGAAAGTGAGAATAGGACTGTAATCAGATACATGTACTTGTACTCGGATAAAGAGAAAAAATATGAAAAGAAATTGATGAATATAATTCATGCTGATATTATTAATATCATTTAAAACACATCGACTTTACCATGCATAATGTAGTCATTATCATACAGAATTAATAATTTGAATAATTTCTTTAATACCTTTAATTTAGATGAAATAGTCGACTTGGCTTTCGCCTACATCCAGTGAAAGCCTGTCCACTTCTCTAAAGAGAATATAGGCGAAAGCCTGTCCACTTCCCTAAAGAGAATATAGGCTAAAGCCTGTCCACATCTCTAAAGAGAATAAAGTTATACCAACTTAGACTATCCTCTCCAACACAAACAAAACTATATAAAATAGTCAAGAATTCTTAATTTCTTTAATTATGTAATATTTTTATTCATCACCATTTGCTCAAGAATTCTTTTTTCGATAAGAATTAGTTTATCTGTAAATCAGTTTAAAAAAAAACTCGAGAAATTCAAGGACACAGCTATAAAAAATCATTCTAGAATTTTCTACGTTAATTATGCAAAGACATCTTTCTTGATAGCACCTTGACCTTTCAAAAATCCAATTAAAAGATTTAGATAAAGATTAAGATTTTTAGACTTGAGGAGTAAGAATTAGCTGAATGCATTTTGTTTCACGATCTGTCTGGTCTTGATAACCGACTTTTATTTTTATGTTAACAGAATCAGAATATAGAGCTGTTGAACGAGATTAATACCATCAACAAAAAACTACTCACTCATAATGAACTTCAAGATTTAAAAATCCTACACAACCACGTGCAGACGTACTTGAAAGGCTATGCGTTCAGAGAGTAAGTCTAACTCTGAAATTCATTCAAACTTCTCAATTCGATAAAAAAGATACACAGCTAGACAATTATATGATTAAAAGGTATCAAAACAAAACATACTTGCCTTCTTTTATAATCGTTTAAGAATATAAACTACTGTCTTACAAGTTGACTTTACCAAAAAGTGTTTCATTTATGGTAACCAGAGGCCTGTTCAACAGAGCGCTCACTAAAATTCTTTATACTCACAGTACTTCCGATAGAAATGTTCACAAGCGCTCGCTCTATTGAACTTCTAAGCCTCAGAAGAATGAATCACCAAACCACCCCAATCAAAAACTACACAAAATAATTCCAAATAAATATTCTTGTTTTATAGATGGGGAAATCTGAATCCTATAAATTTTCTAGAGGCTCCTTTGAAGCACCGCAGTTGGATTTCAAAATCTATGACGTCAGATCCGGAGAAATATCTTTCAAGACTTCAAGCCATTCCACAACAAGTATGGCATGGTATTCTCTTAATGAATTTAACTTGTTCAAATCACCCGAATACTTCATTTTCTTCATAACGAGTAAACATTTTACTATATTATTGTTTTGATAAATAATTTTAATCCGTTGAACCTTTATTTTTAATTGTTTTCTCCATAGATCAAGGAGCAGATTCAGCTTATGAAGAGGGCCATTCAGCTTAACAGGACAAACCACCTGAATTCTATGGTAGGTATAAATTAATTTAACGAATGTCTATTTTATACCTACATAAGTATAATCGTATATATAAGTTTAATAGTTCAGTTGTTTCTTTATATATATTTGTAAACGGTTCTTTTACTTGAATTTAAAAAAAAAATAATTTTGTATACAGGTTAATCGAGAAAGAATCAATTCAAACGAAACCTTCCAATCTACGTATACATGTATGTCTTGACTTTAATTAAGATTAAACCTCTATGTAATGATGCATTGAGTCCGTTGTATAAAGAAGAGGAATCAAAAAGAGCAATGTTGATAAGGTTAAAACGTTAATAGTGACCATTCTCATAGCTGGAAAATTGTAGATCAGTGGTCTAAAACGTTTGTATGGACATTCATCCCAAATTATTTTTTTTAGATCAATGAACTAAAGATATAAATTTACCTATTCCTAAGAATTGTGAGATTCGTTGTTGTATTTATATTTCGTTTTGATTCGTTTCGAATCCAGGATGGTATGTTTGAAATGATATGGACTGAAATATTTTACGTATACAGACACCAAAGACACGAAAATTCTAATACGTCTTCATCACAAAACTCATCAAGGTATTTATGATCGTTTGTAATTTATTCTCTTCATTGCATGTTTAAAATATGATAAAATTAAATGAATAATTGCTACAGTTGCCTTTTTAAAATTCGCTTAGAACTAATTTCTTAATTCGCTTTTGGAAACAACTTTTGTTTCCGATTCATATTTAATTAATTCATGCAATACTTTGCAATATTAAAAAAAATATCCTAAAAAGAAAATTCTAAGCGAACTTAATTCTTTAATTAAGTAAATTCTGTAAAATCACTTATTTTATTGGGGATTGGTTTTCGTTGTTTCTGATTATGAAGGGACCAAAGAATTCATGTCAATCACAAAATGCATGTTTCAACATATGGCTACTCAAAAATTCTTCATCCACGAAATTAAATTCCAACCATCCCATTTTTCCCATCAAACAAAGAAAAAAAATACGTGACTTTACTGTTTCCATTACTTGACTTTGCTTTTTCATATTGTCCTTTTCATTTTTATAAGTTGACACACGAAACTTATTGTAAAATGATGAAGTTTCTTTTGTCTGACAGGCTGTTACACGTTTGGAACACCAGTACCGAGAACGCAGTAAAGGCTCTTAATAAACTAGCAGAATTCATTGATTCGGTTAGTATATATGGCATTCCCAGAAATTATTAAAAAATACTTCTGAAAACTTATTTTTTAAATTTCAAAATATTTTTAAAAAGTTATTATTAATAGTTACTGTATGAAATCTTCTTTTTTGTATTTTTCCTGTCGATTGCTAATATTCAAATTGAATGCTCTTTGAAAAGAAGAAAGCATATTATCATTATCAAAGAATTGCAAAACTAGTGAAATTATTAAAACACCGAGTATTCTATTGTCTACTGTTATATCACGTGGGGCAAAATATTGAACAATGGAAAGAAACTCGATAGAGGTAAAGAGCTAGCTTTAGTAGGGCTGGGAATGATACCCCATTTTTCTACAATGTGTTGTTTTCACAAGCCTGCGTCCATATGTGAAAGTTATAGTAAACCAGGCCAACAAACTATTTCTCTAACATGAACTTATCTTCTTTTAAATATTTTGTACCTCAATTTACAAATAGACTATAAAATACTTGGTGTTTCAGAAATTCAACAGGTTTAACAATCTTCTGCTAATACCTAGCTTAAATATGCTTTCTATTTTCGATAGCAGTATAATTCTGAACATTAGCAGGCAACAAAAAGGACTAATAATGGGAGGCTATCCATGAAAAAATACATGCACCATTATAGTGTTTTTATTCTATGTATCATTGGAAAATGGTGTTAAATTGTATGTATCATTAGAGAGTTGTGCTAAATTGTATGTTTCATGAGAGACTTGTGTTTCATTGTATGCATCATAAGTGAGCAGTGTTATATATAATTGTATGTATCATTAGAGAGTATTGTGAAATTTTATGTATCATTAAAGAGCAGTGTTATATTGTATGTATGAAGGATATGGAGATAACGAACAGTATTCAGAATCAAAGTCCATAAAACAATACAAAATAGGAGCAGAACAAACAGGGACCTCCGAAACATCAGAGGTGGGATCAGGTGCCATGGAGGAGTGAGCATCCCGTGTGCTCCTTGTCATGGTCGGTAAATAACGGAAAAATCCGTCTCAATTCAATGTGTAAATAATGGTCTAAAAATTGGTATGAAAAACGTCAGTCAGCAGTTGACTCAATGATAAATTGTATTTGCTGACAAGGTCATTGTATCGACCATAGAACTTACGAAGTGATGACTTTAAACGAGACTGCTGATATTATTATTTCATCAACTTGCTCGTCAGTAATTATGTTCCCCAAACGAAGTTGGGGAACATATTGTTTTTACTCTGTTTCTTATTATTATTATTATTATTATTATTATTTTTCTTCTTCTTCTTCCTGGAACTTTTTTGTCCGGGAATGATCTTGTAAACTGTTCGTCCGATGTAGGTAAAACCTTTTTAGGGTTAGTAGACATGTTATGTAGATTTGCGGAATCAAGGTCATTTTGCGTGCACGTGCTTGCAAGAGCGTGCACGTGCAACACGTGAAATGACCAATATAATAGATATAGCCACAACTTTTCTTTTTTTAGATGAAATGCTTTGAAACTCATAATGTGAGGATATATTAGTAGTATAGACATGACGACATGGTGAAAATAGCAAGATCTCACGCGCATGCACGTGCACTTCGCTCTGATTGGCTGCAACTAAAGTCTCAATATCTTTCTTGTTTTTTGACGAAATCCTTTGAAATTTTGAACAAAGCCATGCATTAGGATATCCTACAACATGAAATAAAGCAATTTTCATGAAAACACGTGAATGCACGTGCGCTGCAATCTGATTGGCTGAAACTTTAAACAGCTATAACTCCCTTGGTTTTCAACCAAACAGGATGGGATTTGGAATATAGATAGATATAATGGACTTCTACAAGTAGGTATGGTCACCATGCACATGCATACACGTGCGTGTACATGTGCTGCAATCTGATTGGCTGAAACTTTAAACAGCTATAACTCCCTTAGTTTTCACCCAAACGGGGTGGAATTTAGAACATAGATAGATGTAATGGACTTCTACAAGAAGGTATGGTCACCATGCTCATGTATGCACGTGCGTGCACGTGAAATGAGTAAAATCAAACATACACTTGAATGAGCGTATTTTCTAAATAATTTTGGATTTAATACTTTAATATTCAGTGTATAAAAAATATAGATTTTGTAGACAGGATGATATGGTCATGACGCAAATGCATTCGCATGTTCACGCGTGCAATGCTAAAGTTTAAATGATATTTGTACACTTCTTTGTAAATGTTAAAATCTCAGATGCATAGAGTTTGTCTTATTTAATGAAGCTTACAGGGAATATGACACCAAAAGGGAGTTGGGGAGCGTTTGGGGAACATCTGTAACGGTCCCCGTTACAATTAGCACTAGTTTACCTCGTTTTAGAAATTGTTCATACGTAGAGCATGCTCTTACGTATCTTATCAAATGAGATACATAAACTCCGTATGCTGGTGATGAAGGTATATTGCTGCATAAGTAAGGGAAGTTGACGATAGAAAAGTTAAAGTCATCACGTTTATCATACAGCTTGGTTGTTAGAATGCCATTGACGTCTTTTTCAAGTAAAATATCCAAGTAAGAAACAGATGTGTCAGACTCTGTGGTATCTTTTATTTCAAGCTCTCCGGGATACATATCGTATCGACGTAGGAATGGAAATTACCATTGTTAATTGACAATTCATCGTCGATATATCGTTATAGTAGTGTCGAATTGTATGTATCATTAGAGAGCACTGTGAAATTGTATGCATCATTAGAGAGTAGTGTTAAATTGTATGTATCATTAGAGTGTCGTGTTTAATTGTATGTACCATTAGAGTACATGTAGTGTTAAATTGTATGCATCATTAGAGTAGAGTTATATTTTATGCATCATTAGAGCAGTGTTACAGTGTATGTATCATTAGAGTAGTGTTAAATTGTATGTATCATTAGAGTGTTGTGTTTAATTGTTATGTATCATTAGAATGTCGTGTTTAATTGTATGTTCCAATAGAGTAGTGTTAAATTGTATGCATCATTAGAGTAGCGTTAAATTGTATGTATCATTAGAGTAGAATTTTATGTTATGCATCATTAGAGCAGTGTTAAATTGTATGTTTCATTAAAGAGCAATTTTAAATTGTATGCATCACTGGAGAGTAGTATTATATCGTACGTATCATTAGGGAGTAGTGTTAAATTGTATATATCGTTAGAGCAGTGTTAAATTATATGCATCATAATTTAACCTGAAAAAGACATTAATGACAATCTTACAACCAAAGTCTATGATAAACGTGATAAGATTAACTTTTCATTTGCCAGCTTCCCTTACTTATACAGCAATATACCTTCTTCACCTGCATACGGAGTTCATATCTCTCAGTTGCTTCAATATGCAAGAGCATGCTCTATATATGTACAATTTCTAAAACGAGGTAAATTATTGACAAAAAAGTCGATGAAAAAATAATATTAGCAGTCTCGTCCGATCAGTGTCTTCTTCTTTTTGGATTCCAGAATAAAATTGAAAATTCCAAAATCTTATTGCAAATCTACATGACATCACCTATCATAATCCAAAAGATTAATATGGCTCTGATTTTTAAAATTTTAAAAGAAGGTTGAAGAGAAAAGTGTTACAGATTGATAAAAGTAACAAACTCGAACTTTCCATAGAAAGAGCGAATATAATAATCATTTTATCGGTAGCCGACTAAAGCAAGTATTTTTATGTTGAGATACTTGTATTATTTTATTTCGTTAGGCATTGTTGAAAACTATATTAGATTTTGATTTTGCATCACAAGAAACGTAAAAACTTTGGCAAAGCAACAATCACGGTCATGTCTTATCATGAACACATATGTTCAAGTGAAGATTTAAAAATATTTTGTTTTGTAGGAATACCTTCCGTCCAGTCGTAGGAATATAGGAGCTAGCTCCCTTCCTGGTGGAATGGAATATTATCAGGCCTGCCTGGACTACCACTTGGGAACTCGACTAACACCACGGGAGGTTCACGATCTAGGACACAGTGAAATCAAAAGAATAGAAAAACTAATGAAGAAGGTAAAGATCAGGGAAAAAAAAATTCCTCTTTGAGCTGGTTTTTAAGTACATGTACTTGTATTTCTTTTTAACTCATTTCTAGTAACATACTGCAACTGTGTTTTGAAAGGTGTTCAAGAAGAACACATTGATGTAATTAATTTGAAGTTTTCTAAAAATGGTTTCAATAACACGATAATTGAACATTTAAAGCAAATAATTCTTTGCATATTTGAATAAAAAAAAACTATACTTTGTCTTCACCGTAACATATTTACTGTTTTGTGAACAATAAATATTGGAAGTCATTTCTAAGGTGATGAGACAAGTTGGATTTACGGGGAAAATATCAGAATTTGCTTGGTTCCTGAACGAAAAGATTTTATATGAAGACACAAAGGTATGAAATAGCAGGTTGATCTATAAACTTCCGATAGCACAAATTATGAATTTTAGCAACATGATGTGGAAAAATGTCTTTGACGATTTGTGATGAATTAACACACTAGATATTCTGTCTATATGATTGTAGTGGAACGTATTCCAAAGTTACAGGAGTGCCATAAACAGCGCCCGTGACTCGTTATGGAGCTCCTTCCAGAGAATTCCACTCACACCACTTAAGTTTGTATAAATTTTGTTTAAAAAAAATAAATTACTTTGAGTTCTATGTGCATTGCATCAAGACAAATAGATGTTAATCAGAGAAAGCCATTTTGCATAAATTTCAATTCTTTTAAAATATTTACCACCTTAAGTACAATTATGTAATGAATAGGACAAGAAACACAAATGAAAGCAGATTGAAGATACTAAAGTAGTAACTTGTCAAAAATGAGATTTTTTTTTAGAAGTGTTACACTGTCTGCAGATGAAAAACACCCGTCGAACTTAATTTAAAAGAAATTCTTTTCTTTCTCACCTCCCAAAACCAAATTCTTGATATTAAAACATTCGAAGGTTGTTTAAAAATCTGAATGACTATAAAATCAAAGAAAAATCACACATTTACATTAACATTTATTTTTATCTGTGTTAAACGGAAAAGGACAGAATTAGTCCCTTCACATAGAATTTTGATGGACAAAAATTCATGTTATATGTAGAGAGTGTGTCTTTGGTCCTATTCTATGAAAAAGCGTTTTTTTTTATACCACAGGATGAGGGAGTTCGTAGACAAAATCTTTATTATGATATATAAATTCAATTCAATTCATTTTGTAATAAGCTATTGTTGAGCTACTACAGTGCAAGCACAAGAAGCAATCCATTTCGCTTCATTTAATTTTAACTTTATTAATTTCAAAAACTAGAAAATATCAGATACCGGTGTTTATTTTAAAAGAACTTTTTTTTTTTAATTTTGTGAACAATTATTTTCATATGCTTATTTTCAGAATAGTTACCTATAACGATTCAAGGGTACCAGCGAGGGGCCACTACACCAATAATGTGTTTTATATAAATGTACATTACGAAAATAGGTAAGATAATTAATTTCTTTCTCTATTCTATGTCCAGAAGGAAATTGTGAATTAATAAAAATTATATATTTCTAGAAGTCCGTATTTTTAGCTCTATTGGTCAGAGACCAGAAGAGCTTCTGCGATAGTAATGCGTCCGTCGTCCGTCCGTCCGTCTGTCTGTCTGTAAAATTTTTTTTTTCAAAATGCTACTCCTTCTACAGTTTTAGTCTGATTTCAATATAACGTGGCACACAAGTAGACTTCACAAAGATACATAATTCTGTTTATCAGTTTTTGATTTCGATGAACGTTGTTGCCGTGATTTCTAAAATAGAAATTTCTTCGAAATACTTTTAAAATGCTACTCCTCCTACAGTTTTGGTCTGATTTCAATATAACTTGGCACACAAGTAGACTACACTAAGATACATAATTCCGTGTATCGGTTTTTGATTTTGATGAACGGTGTTGCCCTGGTTACTAAAAATGGAAATTTCTGTACAATACTTTTAAAATGCTACTTCTGCTACAGTTTTTCAGAATGCTACTCAAAATACAGTTTTAGTCTGATTATAATATAACTTGGCATGCAAGTAGACTACACTGAGACACATAATTATCAGTTTTGTGTTTTTGATTTTGATGAACCATGAATCTTTGGTAACTAAAATTAAAAATTCTGTAAGTTTTATTAAAAGTTACTCCTACAGTTGCCTTATTGCAATCTTGCCACAAAAAAGAGACTTAATCAAGGATCATCATTCTATTTGTTGCTTTTGTAAAGTTTTAAGTACCAATTGCTACTTTTCTCTTCCTTTATTTTAAGTACAAACCAGTAGAGCTACAATCTCAACAGAGACTTCTGGTTTTTACTTATGTACAATGTACTCAGAAATCAAAAATATAGATTTAAGGGGACATCCAAGTACCAAATCACTTTTTATGTGAGGTATAGTGAAACCCACTACAAAAAGACTTGATATTATATTCATGAAATTGTCTAAGTGATTTCATGAAAATACTAAAAAGGAAAAAAAATAAATGTTCTACAAAAACATGGTATAAGAACAAAATACACAAATACCGTAATGAAGGATTTTTTTCCTGTTTTCAGAACAACCTCTAACGTTCTCCCTCTGGCTTTTCATGAAGCTTATCCGGGTCACCATTTTCAGGTAATACCGAATTATAAATATATATACATGTATTAAGACTCCTTTAAAATGTTATTATTCAGAAGAATCATTTAAACGTTGACCTTCATTAACCTTTATTTCAGGAATGTTATAAGAGGCAGCAGACCCTCCCGTTATATCGGCGTCACCTCCTTTACCGCCGACGATACGCCATACCCTTTACATACCCAACTTACGCAGCATATAGTGAGGTACATAAGAAAGCACCAGTGATTCTTTTTTAAGTTTTCTGGTCACCTTCAAAACATTCACCCAGCTTGCATTTAAAACAAATATATACATGAAATAATACAAAAACTGTGACGATATTAGAAACAACATATAGTGAATATATATACTTATAAATATGTAAAATATAGAGTAGAGACTGAATATGTAAAAAAAAAAATGTATATTATAATAAAATTTGCTTTGATTGAAACTAAGAGATATTGACAAGTATTCAAGGTCATAGTTCATTTAAACAATACAAATTGGAAGCAGAGCAAACACGGACCTTCAAAAACATTCGATGTGAGATCAGGTGCCATGCAGGAGTGAGCATCTGGCGAGGGACACCTGTCCTTTGCTCCTTGTCATGATCGGGAAAAACGTAAACAATCGTAGATAATTCAGTGGGTAAATAATGGTCCAGCTATCAGTATGAAAAGCGCCAGTCAGCATTTGAGTTAGCGATAAGTTGTATTTGCTAACAAGGTCATTAACTTTTGATGTCCTATTCCATCAACTTGTTTGTCAAAAGCTTCTTTTAGAAATTATTCATACATATAACGTACTAGTACTCTTGCCGATCGAATCTATGAGAGACATACAATCCATATGTAGATTTTACGGGTATGTTGCAATATAAGTTGAAGATTGAAAAAGTGAAGTCATCACGTTTATCATAGAGCTTTGTTTATGTTAAATAAAATTTAAATATAAAATTTATTTGTGAAAGTATGCTAAATGAATTCTGTTATAGGGCTGGGCGCTGTATGCAGAACAGTTAGGGATGGAGATGGGATTTTATAAAACTCCTCTGGAAACGTAAGAATCTTTTCTTATATTTATGTAGTTGATTTTTAAATGCAATTAAGCCGGACAAGATGTACCATTTTATGAAAGAGACAGTATTGTAAAGCGTACTAAAACATGTAAAATTCCAATGATATTTAGTTTTCAGAAATATTTATCAGAAATCTTCAGAGCGTGTCGACTGGTTGTGGATACGGGAATACATGCTTTTGGGTGAGTATATGTCAAATAATTTTCATGGAAAAGGGGATAAAAACTATTAAGTTATTTAATTGATTGCTAGCATGTTCTCTTTACAGTAGAAAGAGAGACTAATAGCTCTCTTTTTTAACGTGTGATTTTCAGAAATCTTGATATTTGTTTTATATAGCAGCATGGTGATTTTTTAGCTCTACTGGTCAGAGACCAGAAGAGCTTATGCGATAGTAATGCGTCCGTCGTCCGTCCGTCTGTCTGTCTGTCTGTCTGTCTGTCCGTCTGTCTGTCTGTCTGTCTGTAAACAATTTTTCAAAATGCTACTCCTCCTACAGTTTTGGTCTGATTTCAATATAACTTGGCACACAAGTAGACTACACTAAGATACATAATTCTGTGTATTGGTTTTTGATTTCGATGAACGGTGTTGCCGTGGTTACTAAAAATAGAAATTTCTGTGAAATTCTTTCAAAGTGCTACTCCTCCTACAGTTTTAGTCTGATTTCAATATAACTTGGCACAAAAGTAGACTACACTAAGATACACAATTCTGTGTATCAGTTTTTGATTTTGATGAACGATGTTGCCGTGGTTACTAAAAATAGAAATTTCTGTGAAATTCTTTCAAAATGCTACCCCTCCTACAGTTTTAGTCTGATTTCAATATAACTTGGCACACAAGTAGACTACACTAAGATACACAATTCTGTTTATCGGTTTTTGATTTCGTTGAACGGTGTTGCCGTGGTTACTAAAAATAGAAATTTCTGTGAAATTCTTTCAAAATGCTACTCCTCCTACAGTTTTGGTCTGATTTCAATATAACTTGGCACACAAGTAGACTACCCTTAGATACATAATTCTGTGTATCGGTTTTTGATTTCGATGAACGGTGTTGCCGTGGTTACTAAAAATAGAAATTTCTGTGAAATTCTTTCAAAATGCTACTCCTCCTACAGTTTTAGTCTGATTTCAATATAACTTGGCACACAAGTAGACTACACTAAGATACATAATTCTGTGTATCGGTTTTTGATTTCGATGAACGGTGTTGCCGTGGTTACTAAAAATAGAAATTTCTGTGAAATTCTTTCAAAATGCTACTCCTCCTACAGTTTTAGTCTGATTTCAATATAACTTGGCACACAAGTAGACTACACTAAGATACACAATTCTGTTTATCGGTTTTTGATTTCGTTGAACGGTGTTGCCGTGGTTACTAAAAATAGAAATTTCTGTGAAATTCTTTCAAAATGCTACTCCTCCTACAGTTTTAGTCTGATTTCAATATAACTTGGCACACAAGTAGACTACACTAAGATACATAATTCTGTGTATCGGTTTTTGATTTCGATGAACGGTGTTGCCGTGGTTACTAAAAATAGAAATTTCTGTGAAATTCTTTCAAAATGCTATCCCTCCTACAGTTTTTGTCTGATTTCAATATAACTTGGCACACAAGTAGACTACACTAAGATACACAATTCTGTGTATCAGTTTTTGATTTTGATGAACAGTGTTGCCGTGGTTACTAAAAATAGAAATTTCTGTGAAATTCTTTCAAAATGCTACTCCAAATACAATTTTAGTTTGATTATAATATAAATGTGGCATGCAAGTAGACTGCACTAAGAACATAAAGAGACTTAATCAAGGATCATTATTCTATTTATTGCTGTTGAAAAGTTTCAATTTCCAACTGCTTAAGTACTTTTCTCTTCCTTTGCTATAAGTACAAACCAGTAGAGCTTCAGTCTCGACAGAGACTTCTGGTTTTACTTTGAAGTTCAACAATATAATCCATTTTTACAGAAATTGTAAAAATGTCTTCTTGAAAAAAAATTAATAGCTTAACTTCATCTGACATAAAAGATTCAATGTTTCAGATGGACAAAAGAAAAAGCTGTTGATTTCATGAGACAATACACGAATGCACCGTATGGGGAGGTAGCACGAGAAATAGACAGATACACCACGTGGCCTGGACAAGCCTGTACATATAAAGTTGGGGAACTGAAAATTAGAGAACTTCGATCTCGAGCAGAAAATATGTTGGGTAATTGTTCACAGCTGCATCTGCTTATTTACAGAAAATATCATGTATGCTCATAGAGCAGTTGCTGTAGGTGTATATTCCGTTAAAATATTTAATATGAATCCATGTTTAACATACATGTATTTTTAATTCTTTAGGTAAACAATTTAATATTAAAGAGTTTCATCATCAAATATTGAAAACGGGGCCCATTAGCTTGGACATTCTGGAGGAGATCGTAAATGACTGGATAATACACAAAATGTCCCCTATTATATCAGATCCAGTCTTATCCCCACAAGCTCTATCAAGAGGGACATCTGTATTTAGCAATTTTTTACTTACATCATTATCAGCGTTTATTATTGTTTCATTTTGGAAGACGTTTATATGATATTAGTGTATATTGATTTTTTTCTTTAGTAAAGTCTGTGCAGTGTTACCCTGTGTGGCAGGTTTAATGCATCCATAGGTTGACATTTAGAAGAAAGAACTAAAAGATAACCTCAGGTCTAACCCTGTTTTTTATAGAGTACATCAAAATAAATGTTTTGTTGAAACACAATTAATTGATGAATGCAAAGCTGTACTGTGTATCAAAACAACTCAAATACAATCATCGCGCGAATTACCTTGCCTTTAGAAAAGAAATGATTACCACCCCCATCAGCATCCACGAAAAAATTAAATTCGACTATTAAAGAAATGTTATAACGATACATTGACCATATATAGGACCTTTTCAGAGACAACTTAAAAGAAAAAAATGTCATCTCTTAGATATAATAAATGTACTATGTGCGATAAATTGTCATCTAGGATTGATTATAGCTTTTAATACAGGTTTATCTTGTACAAGATTATGCTTCTATACCTTGCTGTGAATATACATCATGTAGCTAATTTAAAACTAAATTAGCTAAAACATAACTTGGTTATTCTTTACAATCAATCAGATATTAAATAGCATTTTGGGTATACCAAATAATAGTTGTTTTTTTCCTTAAAAATACCCTGCTGGACAAAGCACAACAGTTTTATGCATGTATAGATTTTTTTTTTGCAAACATAAATTTATGTGAGATAGGTTATCTAATTCAATGTTTTAAAGTGGATCGGTAGTTCTAGGGAATATTCGTATTCAAAGACAGAAAAAGAGGGTTGGAAAAGTCCTAATATGAAATACATGTAAGATTATTTTAACAATGCTTAATCATCACGTTTATCATGGTTTTAGATAACCATTTACGTCTTTTTTTTTTAGTAAAATGTCCGAATATGAAACAGATGTGTCAGACTATGTGGTATCTACTAAACTTAATAAATTATCAAGTAAAAATAATCCTTTGTACAATAAAAATACCAAGAGGATTTTAAAATGCTTGGATACTTGAAATGATACTATTCAAACAAAATGTCTATATTATGTGAATGAATATAATTATGAATTATGACACTTGTTTGGTCAATAAAACTTAATAACTTTTATTGTGTTTTCTTCGCTTTATACAAAGTTATGCCGTACTCTACAATTTGTACTCGTATATTCTGACAAGGCCTTTTTGATTCCCTACCCAAAGAGTAGACTTGAACAGAGAGAGTCTATATGGAAATTTTCCTTCCTTCTCTGTCATTAAATACATTAGAAACTTCCCTTCATGGCTCAGTAAGTGGACACAATGGTTGTAATGATCAGTAAGAAGAATGTTACAATGGCGGTCACATGCTACATCAGTGGGCCTGAAGTCCGCTGCCAGGTTCTGTCCATGGTAAACAGACTTTTGAGAACCAGAAGAGGACAAAATTATCATTTCACCTTTAGAAGCACTCGTCCAATTCAAAACGCAGATATCGGTGTTGCTGCTCTGCGAAACACGGACCGGCAGAGTGAATAACTTTGTCTGGCTGTCTTCATGGAATTCGTACTCACGAATGACGTCACCAGTCCACGAGAGTTGTCTTATCAGATTTCTGCTGCGGGACTCCAATTTATAAAGTTCTGTTTCAGTGTCCCTTAGGGTCACCAGAAATCCTCCACCCAAACACTGACAGATTCCTCCTGGTGACAAAGGATGTGTACTGACAATTGTAGAAACAGATCCTTCCGGAGATAAAATCTTGACAGAATTGTCCTTAAAGTCAGTGAAATAAATTTCATTCTTTTCAGTCACACAGATATCAGTGGGGTGGATATTGTGTTTCTGTGCTTTCTCACCTTGTTTGTTGATTTCTTCAACATACCCTGATTTTAATTTCCTGATATAACACAAATCGTCGCTAAAGGCTTTTAATAAAACTATTCGCTCATCTCCATAGTTAAAAGAGGACGTTTCCGTCGCGCTGACGTCATCTAAGTCCAAAGTCTTTCCAGTTATTGACTCCACCAGGTCATCACTGATGTTTCCTCTACTGTATCTCACTGATTGTTCGCAGTTCTTAACATCGATGTCACTTTCAGATAGAAGGAGTGTCAATTCTTTATGGTTGGTTATCAAACTAAGATCAGACATGGTTCTGTTGTTCTCCTCCATGAATTTCATGATCTTAACTATTTTGTTCTTCTTCCCGATTAGCTGAGATTGGACAAGATCAACTTGTTCATTCTTTTTTGACAGATTGTCTTTCAACATTTGTTCTTGTCGTTTTTTGATATCTGAAAGCCTGGTCATTAGTTCATCCCAGTGTTTCTGCAATTTTTTAATCTCACATTCATGACCTTCTTCATTTTTTGTGATTTGTTTTAACATCTTCTCCATCTTTGAATCAATCCGTGGCAGCTCATCTTTTTTAATCCTTTTGAAGAATTGACTAAGACCTTTTCGTATTTGACCAGCAGCTGTAGGTAATGTGTTCCAGTCATGATCTTTGTGAGTTATTTTGGCACAGACAGTGCAAATAAACTCATCACAATCTTCACAAATCAGATGAAAAGGTAGATTGTGCAATTCACACATTGGAATATGCTCTTGGGGAGAGCCCAGTATGTATTTTACTTTACTTGCCGCCATGTTTGTTATGTTGCCTACAAAAAGGGTGTCCCAATTTTTGAATGATTTTAGATAAGGTATGCTAAATATAATATAAGTTTACACAGACTTAAAATCAGCAAGACATGCAATAAAACATGTCTGAACAAAAGATGTATTTTATCATTCTTGTCATTTACTTAGATAGTATTTGACCTAGACATCTAGGTGAACAAAAAATGTATATGGAAATTTATATCGTTTATTTTATTGATTTAAAAACATATCGATTTTATTTAGAATAGAATAGTTAATTTTTTTTACAAAATAGTTAAACATGCAATTAATTATTTTTATTACGCTTTGTTTTTGTATTATTTGGTATAAATGACCGATAAAAAGTTTGATTTTCTGCCTTTGTCGCCTCTAAGAGATTCTAAAAGGTCTTCACTAAAGCTTCAGGTGAAATACTTTAATTTGGTTGTCAATTTCCACTTCTTTCTTCAAAAACCTTATTTTTCTTGCTTTTTCTATCTTTTTCTCTTGGATACTTTTGACTGTATTTATTTGCATTTTTCATTTATTCTTTGCTAATAAAGGCTATATTTATTGTCCCCCGCTTGAAAAGTGGGGGATATTAATTTGGGTTTGTCCGTCCGTCCGTCTGTCCGTCCGTCCGTCCGTCCGTCCGTCCGTCCGTCCGTCTTTCTGTCTGTCTGTAACGCTTTTGTTTCCACACGATATCTCGAGAACCCTTTGAGCTTTTGCAATGAAATTTAGCATAGCAACTCCCCATGGACTAAAGAAGACCCCTATTGATTTTGAGGTCAAAAGGTCAAAGGTCAAGGTCATAAATAAGCAAATTCTGTCTGTTAAAACACTTTCGTTTCCACACGATATCTCTAGAACCATTTGAGCTATCGCAATGAAATTTTACATAACAACTCCCAATGGCCTAAAGAAGACCCCTATTGATTTTGAGGTCAAAAGGTCAAAGTTCAAGGTCGTAAATTTATACATTCTGCCTGTGTGTAACACTATCATTTCCGGGCGATATTTGAAGAAGATTTTGAGCTTATGCAATGTAATTTTATACCAAAACTCCCTAGGACGTCTCTCGCCCCTCTCAAAGTGCCCCGCCCCGTTTGTTTTATTAGTATTTATAGTACTGTAGATCACTAAATTTTCGCGACATCTTATTTTCGCGAAATAGTCGCTGATTCTTGATTAGCGAGACAAAATTTTCACGAATTGTGGTTATTGGTCTATATAATCTTAAGGAATACTATTATACGCGAGAATTTAATTTTCGCGAGCACACTGTCTCGCGTAATTACGCGAAAATAAAGTTCTCGCGAATAAAAAGTGATTTACAGTATTACATGTCGCTATTTTTAGCGCAGGGGCATGAGGAGTTATTGCGTATAAAACAGGTTCTCGGTGGACTTTATGTTCTTATTACATCTATTAGAACTGTTTAATAAAGGCTAAATAAATCAAACACCATGGATTGTGTAAAATTTTGAGAATACCGAACATGAAAACATGAATATATACATGTATGTGACTTCAGTTCTGCATATACCTCATTCCGCGTAAAGCGACTCCGTGGTGTAGTGGTTATGTCTATCGCTTCAAATGGAGGTCCCGGGATCGAATCTCGATCGATCCTTTTTTTTTTTTTTTTTTTTTTTTTACATACTTTTTTTTTTACTAAATGATAGTATTCAGCATGTGAAATGAAAAATTTATGAGGTTATAAAATCATCATTACAGTGTGATAAATATTCCATATAAAAAAAATCTTCTATACACATAATAAAGAATAAGCAATCAAATCTTTATATGCATATTGACATACATGTATTTTATTTCCTTCAGTATACATGTATACATTTAATAATTCTACAAATTCAGTCAGGGGGAGCCGACTTTTTCCCTAAGCGGGGGACACGAATTCTCTGAATTAGCTTGTTAATTAAGTGATTATCCTGTATCTGAAAACAGGTTTTTCTGTTTGTTGCACGATGAGATGACTTTAAGCCCTCGGGCCATCATCAGCCTTACACTTTATTTATACGAGGTTGTTCTCTCTTGTAGTTCAAATCCTTTAGATTTTTTTTGTATAGGATGCAATGACTGTACATTTGTGCTTGCTTTCACTGTTGCATTACATTGTAAAGACATCTTTCCATTCAAATAAGTTCATAGATTATGACAACAAATCCTCAGAAAATGCGCTTTAGTGAGGTTATTTCAGAGGCTACCGGGTTTTTGTTCTAGTTGTCTCTCGCCCATACAGGTTCTCACTTACTTAAACAAAATCAACAATCAGACTAGTTAAAATGTCGAAGAATACTCTTGGTTACCATACTCAAAGCGCACCATCATGATGCTTGTCTAGTTTCTTCTCAAGACAGTCCCAGTAATTTAGCCATTTTGATAAAGTCTCCACAGAGATGCTAAGTTTAGCATTGGGAAATCTATAAATATATTTTAATTTCCAACAGTTTTTCTTTGGTGACTCTATTAAGTTCAGTGTGTTGATTACTCGATATTTACAACTGAGAGCAAGGACAAGGTAAGTAATAAAATCTCTTTTATGTCCTTTGTTTTTGTCTCCAGGAACGATGTAAAAGTTCATATATTAAAAATCTGAAGCCATCCCTCTTGAAAAAATAATTATAGATTTGAGGTATTGGGATTCAAAAAGGACACAGAAAGGTTCAAAGTATGCTCTATGTATAAAGAATAGAAATATTTTTAAAAAATAACATTTTATGCGAGAGGCTGTACATTCCTTTACATTTAAGGAATTCAAGTACACTGAAATGAAAGACTAATCTCATTCAAATGAAAAAGACACATATTCAAATGAAAGAGACACATATTAAGCTTCATATACTCAGTATTAGATATTTCAATTCAGATATCCTTTATTCAAGTTTGTTTCTTGTTTCTTTATTCGAGTAATAACACACGTTTTACACATACAAGAGGCCCCATGGGCCACATCGCTCACCTGAGCACTGTGGCTAGGAAAAAGTAAAAATTGGTTTATTATTGAAAAGTTTAAATCACAAAGTAGTCCCATGACCAATCATGGCTTTGCTATTCTTGAGAAGATGATTTTTAAAGAATTTTCCTATATATTTCTGTGTAAAACTTTGGTCAGCCATTGTGGCCCCGCCCTACCCCCGGGGGTCATGATTTGAACAAACTTGAATCTACACTACCTGAGGATGCTTCCATATAAATATGAGCAATTATGGCTTTGCAATTTTTTTGAGATTTTTTTTTTTAAAAATTCCTATATATTTCTATGTAAAACTTTGGTCGGCCATTGTGGCCCCGCCCTACCCCCGGGGGTCATGATTTGAACAAACTTGAATCTACACTACCTGAGGATGCTTCCACATGACTTTCATCTTTCCTGGCCCAGTGGTTCTGGAGAAGAAGATTTTTAAAAGATACCATTTATTTTTCATTAATTCATAATTATCTCCCCTTGGAAGAGGGCTTGGCTCTTCATTTGAACAAACTTAAATTCCCTTTACCAAAGGATGCTTTGTGGCAAGTTTCGTTAAAATTGGCCCAGTGGTTCTTGAGAAGAAGTCGAAAATGTGAAAAGTTTACAGATAGACAGATGAACGGACAGACAGAAGGACTACAGACAAAATGTGCTCAGAAAAGCTCACTTGAGCTTTCAGCTTAGGTGAGCTAAAAACGAATGATCAGTCTGTACAAGTGAAATAATAAAATGATATATATTTACAAAATTATGGAGAATATATGGCAAAGTTCAATATTCACAGAATTCTGTAATCGCATATATTATTTTTATGTGGTATAAAGGATTTCATTTTAGTCTTATCATTCTTGTAAACTTTATTATTAAATAAATACTCAGTATATTATATTTACAAACAATTCTAAATTTCTGCACGCCATTGCAAGTTAGCTTTGGTTTTTTCAACGAAAAATCCTCTCTTGTTGCCGAGGTAATTGTCCAAATCAGATTGTGATTCAAATAAATGCACATGGAAAGGGCTTCCTCTCACGTGACGTCCTGACCATTTGACCCCTATGACGTATTCTCCAGGTTCTTCCGGGTCATACGAACACAACACAGTTCGATCATTCTCCTCTTCCCTTTGAATGTTAACTTTAAATGCACCTTTTCAAAGAGGCAAGATGTTAGCAAAATGTACTATATATATTAAAGAATTGTTGATAGAAAATAAATAATAATGTAATCTTTTTCTGTTTTAATCAAGTATCATTGCAGTAAAATTTCCTAACAAAAATACTGAAACTGTGATATCACAAGTACAATCATTCTTTGATAAATTATGGAATTTTTGTTCATAAAATCTACTGATTACAAAAACTATTGAAAAATGGGCTCAGGAAAGTTAAGTATTTTTAATTTTGGAGACATACCTCGTGGTCCTCTGATCCTGACCGCTAACTGACCGGCGCCTGCGCCCACGGTCTCCACCAGAAATTTACTCTCAAATGTCTGAACTAAACCATCCTGCACCCCAGGTCCATAAACTTTCACTTTGCGTGGATCAGGGGGCTCTCCCACAGGAATTTTAAAGGGACTGCCTGAGAGAATATCAATAAAATACGTGTTACAAAGCAAAATGAACTAAGAATCTTTATAGTTTTCATTAAGGCTTTTGCTGTCATTTGAAAGGCATTTGAGAGCTCTTTGAATATTCCAGATTATTCCTTGGTTCCTGAATTCTTGCATTAATTAAACTACTATAGTGTTTGCCTTTCAAATGCTCATCTTTGATCTCTACTAAATAAATAGTTATTTATACTTGATAATGTAATAACACACCTGGTACATGTTCATGATCATAAGTAATCTCCAGTCTGTATCGACACGCCTCCCTTGGGTACATGTGTACTTTATAAAAACCATTACGCTGATTGAAAACATCACATCTTGCTTCCCTTAATTCACCATGACAGTTAACCTTGATCTCACCTGATAACAACGACAAAATATTGTGCTAGTCATAGTCCCACTCATTCCAGAAACAACAACGATTTGAAATCATTACATGAACCACATACCAAATCCAGCTTCTGTTGTATCGATATCGAGGCGCAATTCTTGGCCAACATAACCTCCTCTGAGGCCTTGACCCGTAACCTTTACTTTATCACTTGCTCCTTTGCTTGAAACTGTTATCTTGAATGGACAACCGGGAACAAGTTGTTCGGACCAATAAACGAATAAAACATAAGCCCCTAAAAATAAATCTCGTTCATTTAATGGAAGAAATGAACAATTTAATTTTGTATATGGGATGGCCTTCGACCAATTTTATATTTATGGCATATAGAGCCTGAAACCTCTCCTTTTAATAATGTGTAATTGTGGTGTTTCAGTACTTTTAACTTATTACAAATTTGTTTACATGTGTTACCTGGATTTGGAGCGATATATGTGCATTTGTATCTGTCATACTTCATAGGTTTAATGTCCACATCAACATCTCGTTTGACACCTTTCAATAAAGCCCGAGGAGTCCCTGAGAATAAAATAAATTCACACACGGTCACATGGACCATATGAGAGAGAGAGAGAGAGAGAGAGAGAGAGAGAGAGAGAGAGAGAGAGAGAGAGAGAGAGAGAGAGAGCAGATTTCAAATTCAGTACCTGGACCAGCCTGTCTGCCATTTATGAGAAATTCTGCCGGAACTAATGCGCGCGCCGTTTCTCTACCTTTGCCCTCAATGACAACCTTAGTGTGATCAATCGGAAGTATGGGACCTGGACAGTAGGAGAGAATTGGCGACGAATCCAGAGGTACATCCGACCAGTATATATGTATGTAATGGTCTCCTTTAATGCGGGAAAAAATACAAAAGATAAGGATTTTGGTCAGCGTTCTTTTGGCATCTCGAATAAAAACATTAGAAACAGCGTATTTCATGATTCTCTCGTAATGATGAAAACGAAATTTTACCCTCCTCTACTGCAGTAAAGGCAACCTCTACCTCCTCCTTTTTCACAGTCCGCAGATCTACTTTTAATTTTCCTCTGGGCGATAAAACGGCTGCCGACATTCTACCTGTAGGGAATACATACCATTATATGTTTTAAAACAGTATTTTTCATAGATTTATCTAGCAAGATATAATTTTCTATAAAATTGTAGTCATTTTATAAACCTTTTTACTTGTACACTTGAAATAAATTTAGCACTTTCAAAACATTGCTTTTGTTTGTGACAGATAAACTGAAGTTTTGCACAGTTGAACAGAACTTAACGAAAACTATTACATGCCATTCAATTAATTTTATGCATGCTTTGTGAAGGAGGGAAGGGATTAATTACTATCTAACCTGGACCAGCCGAGCTGATGTCATATTTCAGACAGGTTTCCACCCCACACACCAACGCTAGAGCACCATTCTCATCCATCAAGTCAGTCAAATCAGTAATTAGTGTCACTCTGGACCTGTCTGTGATTTTTGCGTAGAACGGACTACCTTAAAGAAAAATATTCAGTTCAATAAGATTTGGCAATAGTTTGGAATTTCATATTTCCAAAACTTCCCTTCGGTCTAAACCTTGCAGTTACAAGGCTGTGCAAGGTATCGGTTCCTTTCTTTATAGTTGTTTACTGGAAGCTAGTATCCTTGCTTTAGTTTGTAGATGTTTTGGATAATATACCTGGAACTGGCCTGTCGTCCCATAAGACTGTAATTTTATAGGTTCCTGCCCTGGTTGGTACATAGGAGAAGATATAAGTGGAGGATCCAGCTTCTCGCCACGACGTGTCCACTTCTTTCCCTTCATCTAGTAAATGATTTTTAATGAAATGGTTAGAATGAGCACTACAAAACCCTGAACAAATGAAATTATTTAGTATTTACAGAAACACCACCACTAATGACCTACTTTCTACTACCACGTGAATATTTCCTCCAAGATCCCCTGTGTTCACTTGAAACATACATTCCTTCCCCTTCATCCCCCGTGTCAAACCTTCCCCCGTCACCAAAATCTGTCCAGGGTCCAGAATATCTATGCTCTTTGGAGATCCTGTTGAAATGTATAATTGGAAATATAAATGTCATCGTATATATCCAATCAAAGAAGACTCAAAACGATTCTATATTTTAAATCTTTCTTCAAAGTCGAGTGCATCCATTCACTACCTGTTATTTCTGTATTGTTGAATTTGCTGTACACGAAGAACATTCCAGAATTCTGAGGTATGAATTCTATTGTCTTCACCCCACTGTATTCTGTGTCTTTCACCTCACAATCAATCTCTTTACCAACATTACGCACAGCAGCCTCAATTTCACCTATACCCGCTTCGCTGAAGTTCACTACATTAAAAAAGCAACCATTCATTATACGAACAAGTGTATGTGACAAAATAAATACATATTTGAAGAAAAATGAGCAGAAGGTGTTGTGTGAACTTTGACCTGTGAAGACAGCTTCCTCCCCCACAATGCCTTTTTGTGGTCCAGATAACCAAGCCTTCTGAGGATCATACACATCAAAGGAAATGGGACTACTGGATATTTCTTCCCCTTGACAGAACACATGAACGATCCAAAGACCTACATGTACAATAAGAGAAGTATGGAAACTAAAAAGAATTCTGAATTTTCCTAATATATAATTATAGAACACAACCATGATCAAGGTGTCCCAGACATATATCTACATGAAAATGACTTGTGTTAAAAGAAAATATTCTCACCCACTGATTTTGGTCGGAAGTTGGCAGTGAATACACCGTTCTCAAACAGAGTAGTCAACGGTTTTACTTCGTCATTCGGTGAGCAACATTCAATAGATACCTCAGTGCTTTCAGATTCTGAAACGACCTGTAGCAACAATTAATTAAGCTCAAATGGTGCTATTAAAGCAGAAGTGAAAACCATAAATGTACATTTTATTGTAAAATCAGAATATTTATCACTTACCTCAATTTCATTCGTTGATCCAACCATGCATGAAGAAGACGGTGTTCGAAGCTTAACCTTTGACAGATCAGCCTTTACACTGAAATTCACTGGACAGGTAACTAAGGGAGTACTATTGTATGAAACAGTTAACTGAAAAAAGATGAAGGTGACATGCATGAAAATTATCTTTTTAATCAGACGTAGTTTTCAAAGATTCACATCAATATTTTTTACCGCGTATGAACCAGGATCAACAGGTGTGAAGCGGCAATCCGCAAACTTATCCTTCCAAGTGACGTCACAGTTTTGATTTCCTCTCGGACCCTTGATTTGAACGTTAGCGAGTTCTTTTTTAACATCCTTATCCGCCATTATAAGTTTGAAATGTGTCTGAAAGAAAAGTATTTGAAATGAGAGATCAATGGATAATGGATCTATTTTTTATATCGGACAGATTTAAGTAAACTGGTCTCGTCTCGACATACCTGCACTCCTGTAAGAAGGCTGTCGAAGTCCCCTTGAATCGTCAATTTCTCGTTGTCAGATTTAACTGGAGTCGCATATCGGAATCTGTTCAAGTAAGTCATAATACTCAGGTGGTCGATCTTAGAATCTGCTATTTCTGATGCACTTAAGATTGGATCCACGCCCATTCTCTTTCCAGCGTCTATTGCTATAAAGTTTGTTTCATATCTCAGTAGTTTTGGACAAAATGAATTCAATTAAGCAATCATATAATAATGAGCTGGAGCCACGAACCACCAAAATATGCCTAAGGTTTGTTTGAAATCACAATGCCTGTTATATGTTATTCTGTAGTGCACAATATTGTGTTACTCTATAGAATTTGTTGTCACTCAAGCCACCGTCCTTAGCACATGCGCATAATTTTCAAAATCTGTATATCTTTTATAATCATTACTGATTTACATAACATTTTCCCCTCTTTGTTAAAATCGTCATCGTTATTTGTTGTGCAAGTAGTCTGGTCTCAGTGAGTAAGGACACATCTGAAAGCTATTTTACTGGTATATACTAGTTTATGTTTATGTTAAAATTCCTAATGGGATGATTCTTTTTGTTATTGAAATTATTGCCTCACAAAATGGTTTTCTTGGTCATAATTATCAGAGTTTCATAAGACCGGATTTAACTTTAGATTACTTTGTCTATGATATGAAGGAAATGGATGGATCTTAAGAGTCAAAGTCAAGTTCACGAGTTTTTATTTCAAGATAAACCAATTAATTTAGATGTTTTATACTATATTACACAATCGACAGAGATAGAGAGAAATATAACTCAGACAAAGGAAGGCAATAATATTTTGGTCTTTATAAAATGCAAAGCATTTTATGGACGAAAGGCAAAGCATTTTATGGACGAAAGGCAATATGGATTTTGCCAAATAGTTTCATTTTCTCAGGATTTCTTTATTTCCATATAACACTAAACCAAACATTACTTTCTAGATCGAAATATGAAAAAGGATTTAATATCAAACCTGCACTTTTTTACTGTTTACTTACCCATTTGAATGTTGTTTATTTTTTCATCCCTATTAATATCCGGCCAGTTCTCTATTGTTCCTCCCAGTGACGTCACAACTGCACAGAGGTTATAACCGTCGTTCCAATCGGTCTACAGTAAGGAAATAAATAATTTTATTGTACATTTACCATGTTTACAGAAATACTGCTACCCACATAAAAATCCTCGAAAAATATTAAAAATAACTTTTTAAAAAAGCTGTTCAGTTTTAAAAACAGAAAAAAGTTAAAAATAATTTTTCCACGAGCATTTTCAGTCATTGATAAAGATCATAACATATCTCTTAAAATCAATTTGCATTAGGAATTACAGCTAAAGAATGCCTTCAAAAATTCATTGAAAGGTGACATTGATCTCAGAAACTTGATCTCGTCTTGAATACTCACACCTAAGTCTTGCATAACAGGAAATCCATTGAATCATTGATATACGTTAAGACTATTTCTACGAAGGTCTGAAAGTTATGACTCTTATGGTATCTTAAAATATACACAAAGTTTACAGAAATACTGCTACCCACATAAAAATCCTCGAAAAATATTAAAAATAACTTTTTAAAAAAGCTGTTCAGTTTTAAAAACAGAAAAAAGTTAAAAATAATTTTTCCACGAGCATTTTCAGTCATTGATAAAGATCATAACATATCTCTTAAAATCAATTTGCATTAGGAATTACAGCTAAAGAATGCCTTCAAAAATTCATTGAAAGGTGACATTGATCTCAGAAACTTGATCTCGTCTTGAATACTCACACCTAAGTCTTGCATAACAGGAAATCCATTGAATTATTGATATATATTAGGACTACTACGAAGGTCTGAAAGTTATGACTCTTATGGTATCTTAAAATATACACAATGAGTATAAACTCTTGCTAATGGGTAACATAATAATGGGCTGCAATTTGAGACTACTCCAAATGGGAGACACATGAAACCAGTTTCAGCTTCATATTTTTGAACTTACTTTTAATAAACTACATATATACATGTGATAGCAAAATCTGTTTCGTAAGTTTTTTGTAAAAAGTCTAATTGTACCGTAAGGTTGGTAATTTGTGTTGTCCTTAACTGCTTGCAAACCCAGTTTAAGGTGTCATAATATCCAGGGGATTCTGACCTCACAAAATAGGAGAGGTAAGTCATGGCAGATAACTCGTCCAGAGCCTCGCTGGCAAAGTCTTCTGGGCTGATAACTCGAGGGATGTTAAGATGTTCTTTGGCTAAAACCATCGCTGTTCGACAATTCTCAACCCTTACGACAAAAGACTCATTGTTATCTTCATTTTTTAATTAATAGATACAGTTTAAGACAGCAATTAGGTAGTAGACTTACGCATCTTTGCTATGAAGTTCCCTCCATCTGGGGGATGTGCCTGGCCGAAGGTAGTCCACAAGAGCACTAAAATAGATAAGTAAAAAAGACAAAAACTCCAAAAAAAATTTATTGATTCAATTGATGACATTTTTTTCTCTTACTGTAGAGGAATTCCAGTGCTCCAGTCTGATGTGAAGTTTGAAATCTCGAGATCCGGAAGTATGAGCCGGAACCAGTTCATCATCAGCTTTTTGGGTGGGACCTTGGTCTTCCGGGAGGAGATTTGATAACGAACAATAAGATGCCATATCAACCCAAGAATCAACTTTCCATTACCGTTAACTATGTCGTCATTTCCTGTAGAAAGGTATATTATATAAAGAAGTGTACAGATTTCTAAATGAAGGACAACAGTCACATGATCCATAAAAATATGATTTTTCACAAGAATTGTCTTTGAGGCATTGCTACTATAGGAAGTTTTCTCACAAAAAATTGAGGAACGTTATACCAAGCATTAGAAATATACTAAAATAATGTTTTTCCCTATCAAATACCTTTGGTAATCATTTAAATGAATTGCCAATATGACATTTTATGGTATCCGTTTTTAAGACAATTTGAAAACAATTTCGAAATTAAAAGAAAATTACAAATATGAATATTTTTCATATTTTAAGAAAATGTACAAGACCGATATTTAAGGTACATCTTGTCATCTTGAAAAAAGCAATCATTTCATGGATCAGATGCAAAGCTGTGTCCTTTTGTAAGCAAAACCTGATTTAATTCACTGTATGATGCTTTACATGTCCATGTTTATCTTTTCTTTTTTCCAATTTTAATTGCTATATAACTTGAAAAAAATTGACCAAATACTTACTTAAGATTAATAAAAAATTGATCAAATACTTATTTCAGATGAAAAATTGACCAAATGTTATTTTGAGCCGTCACTAATCTTAATTTATTTATAGTCAAATATTGCAAGAACATTTGTTCCTTTTCCTTTGATTATAGTTTATGGGAATGGAATGGAGATAACTGTTTTTGGAGTTTAGACCTCAAGAAATGTATTTACAAAGTTTTCTCCCTGTTTGTCGTTCTTTAGTAATATTTTACCTTAAGTAACATTTCTTTAGTAATATTTTACCTTAAGTAACATTCAAGGACCTCATATTTACCTAATCCTATCATATATCCTTACTGTAACATATCTAATTATGTTATGTTTGCACGAAAGGAATTTAAATACGATACCGTTATCGCTCTATTTTCATAAAACACAGTCCGATTAGAGCATACCTTGAGATAAATATAGTCAACATTTTGGACAAAATAAAAGATTAGAAGACAATATAACTTCTTAAACATTTATCTCTACTCTTCAGAGAACTAGATACTTATATAAACAAGGCACTCTAAAATTACAAACATGTTTCTATGAATATCAGTAGTTACAGATTTATTTTTTCGCAGAAGACTTAAAAAGAAAGCAGAAAATAGTTTGAAAGAGAGTCCATAATTAAGGATTTCATGAATCTATACATGTAGTACTTAGGAATTTAAAAAGAATTATTTTATAGATATCAGTAAGAATTATTATACCCCCGCTTGAAAAGCGAGAGGGTATATAGTAATCGGTATGTCCGTCCGTCCGTCTAGCTGTTTGTCCGTCCGTCCGTCTGTTACGCTTTGGGGTACCCATCTCTTATCCGCATCTCCTCTCATACCACTGAATGAAATTTGATGAAACTTTTACAGAATCTTTATTACATATTGCCATTGTGCGCCTTCTATTTTACTTTTTGATCCGACACATATTTTGGGTTTCCAGTTGCAAAACATGGACACTGTCATTATATTCATATGGGAGGCGGGGGGTATCATTTCGTAAGCTTATTGCTCACAGTACCTCTAGATTTGTTCTGGCATACCGAAACTACCAAAGACAATGTTTAAAATCAGGGACCTGTTATAAAGGTCCCTCATGTAAAATATAAGATAAGAGATTAAAAAAAATTGAAACAAATGTAACTTTAAAGCATTTTGAACTGTGTTTGGGTTGTGGTGTGGGTGATAAATTGTTCAGTATGAAACTTATAACTCCCTCTAATGGTATTTGGATCGAGTTGTTTCAGTATGTCGCTGTACATGTACCTACTTTCTTTATCAATGAATGAATTTTTTTGTCACGTGTTACTCACCAATATTAACAAGGCGGACGTTGTCCTCCATGATGGCTTTACACGCCAATGATACATTTTCAATCTTTTGGATCCGCCCCGTGGGGTTAGCGATGACTTTGCCGATCTTCTTAAACTGCAAAGACTCCACCAAAGCTACTAGATTCACCCCATCACAAAAGTCCGTCTCAATATCCGTAATGGCCTTCCCACTTACACTCAGTTGTTCATTAATCCAGTTCGTAAACGTCTTTCTCTGAATCTCCACCCATCGATTTTCGGGGGACACCTTACTGAATTCTTTCCCCGAGCGGGGACTCGAGTCACCCATTGAAAATTAATTGTCCACAGTGTTTGTATGCTCAGAGGAATTCGTTAATATTTATACCTTGAGCATACCTGTTAGTTTGATAACAACCAACATAAGGGGTACAATCTATGATGTTATCGATCTACCAGCGGCGCGAGTCAACAGGGCAGTTGAGAATATTCATATCTCAATATTGGCCTCCTTACCTACCATATTGAGACACGTTATTTTATTGCTCTACGTAACATATTGCCACACATATTTTCCTACACTGATAAGAGTTGTGAAGATAAAGGATATGAATCATCAATAAATGCAGTACTTGTAATTTTTGAGTTCTAGTCTAATGTACCTATCTACGGTAAAATGCAAATTTTTCCTGTGATAGCATAATTATTTTTTTTCAGTTGAATATTATAACATGGAAATCAGCATAGCATTTTAGAATGAAATATAATGATGTTTTGATTACTATTATACCCTCCCCCCCGCTTGAAAAGCGGGAGGGTATATAGTAATCGGTATGTCCGTCCGTCCGTCCGTCCGTCTGTATGTTACGCTTTGGGGTACCCATCTCTTATCCACAACTCCTCTCAAACCACTGAATGAAATTTGATGAAACTTTCATAGAATCTTTATTACATATTGCCATTGTGCACCTCCTATTTCACTTTTTGATCTGACACATATTTTGGTTTTCCCATAGCAAAACATGGATGCTGCCATTATATTCATATGGGAGGCGGTGGGTTATGATTTAGTGAGCTCATTGCTCACAGTACCTCTAGTTTATTATTAATTTCATAAGTAGTACCTCCTGGAGATAATACGAAGGTCATTTAATAAGTTATGCAAAATATGATCTAAAAATAAGAAAAACACAAGAAACAGTTGCTACTGTATATACGAGGGCTGTTCGGAAATTATTGAGACACTGTGTAGGTTTTGCTGATGTCTCTCTGTTCCATTTGTCTGTACTTCCCCATTTAGTGTGTGACTACATTTCTAACAAACTGTTGTAAGTACGAGGTTCGTTTTTTGAAAAAAATTCTCCAAGTATTTCCATTTAACCTTCGCACTTGTCTTTGTTCCCTAAATTAGAACACCTCAGCATACTCTTTTACAGGGATGCTCAAAAGGACACTCTCCATGATATAGCTTAAATTGTAAAGTCTTCTTTTGATATTTTTCTAGCGGTTTTTGAATAAAAAGATCTTACATGACTGAGATCTGGCGAATGTGGAGGATGATTATATTCTGTAAAAGTTCCTTTCTTCAAAATTTCAATAAATTTGTGACATAACATCTTGTTTATTTTCAACAGACACAAGAAAATTCACTCGAGGACCTGTATTTGGACTTTCCTCACAGAAAACCTGCTGAAAATTCGTCAGTGCAGTTTTAAAATAAATACCACGGATGGTCCTTCTTTTTTTGGTTGTGAATTGATATATTACCGGTTTAATGTAGAATTATGATATATCATTATATCTGGCATTGAATACGTTGTTATATTAAACAAATCTAATTATTTTATAAATCTTGTTATTTGTATTCAATATTTAAATAAAATGTTTTTTCATATTTGATTGATTATCTTGTGATTTATATAGGTCAATCTTGTGATTTAAATTCGAAAACTTTTTATTTTAATTCCTAAATTTGCTATTTATATGCAAAAACTTGGTATTCATACTCAATTATGATAAGATTCATTTCTTAACTAAATACAAATGACAAGGTAAATCACAAGATTATTGCATGTAAACCATAAGAATGTCGCATTTGAATAACATCATACTATAAATCACACGATTATCGAATATGAAAGAAGTTTTGCATATGAATTACGAATTTACAAATATAAATATCAACTTTTAGAATATAAATCACAAGATTTTTCCATATATTTACACTTTTACGAATCTGATTAACATTTATTGAATATAAATTATAAGAATTTTATTATAAATACAAATATAACATTTTTTTATAAGAGGTAAAGAAGATTTTTAAAATAAATCACAAGTTTGATTAAATACAAATACATGAGCATGTACAATACAAGTTTTGTATAATAATCAACATTATTAAAGCAATAATTACAAACATACTAAGTATACAGGTAAAAAAAAATATAGATGTTTTGTGAAAAAATATTATCAAATAGCCATACACAACAATAACCAAACAACATATTATAGGTATTACAATTAGACAATAATGAATAACCGCTAATTTTTATTCATAAGAATAGGGCATTCCTGAGTATGAATTCTCTGTATATTATTTAGAATAACATTTAAAATTCCTGAATATTTTAAGCATAACATAAAATGACTAGATTAAAATGTCCACTACGTATTTGATAGCATATTAACATAAAATACATATTAAAGATTATTTAACAACCATTTACGTGGAAATACACGGTGACCTTCGGAGGCCTTAATGTATGTTGATATCTGACCAGTGTCTGTACTTTTGTTTCGGTTATTGAATAGTGAATCCACCATCTATCACTATGGGCGACCCTGTCATGCTGCTGGCTCCAGAAGTACACAAAAACGTCACTAACTCACATATCTACAAATAGGTACGGGAAATACCAAAATAAATCCATCAAAAAAGTAATATGCTTATATAATCCAGCGTTCAACCTTGTCATACAAAAGGAAATTCTTTGCACAAACAGCTACTGGTTCGAATTCTATGTTAATATTTCAATTTCAAAATCATATAATAATATACAATAGTCTGGAAAATTATTTATCTTGTACTATTCACATGTCCATACAACAATTTTAAAATTATACTAACTAGAGCAATGAGCTCACTAAATGATACCCCCGCCTCCCATATGATATGGGTGTAAGTGTCAGATCAAACAGTAAAATAGGAAGTTCACAATGACATTAAGTAATAAAGAATCTGTGAAAGTATCATTAAATTTTATTCAGTGGTATAGGAGGAGTTGAGGATAAGAGATGTGTACCCTTCAATATTATAGAAAGAATGGCAGTGTCCATGTTTTGCGTGGGAAACCCGAAATGTGTCCGATCAAAAGGTAAAATAGGAGGTGCACATTGGCACTATGTAACAAAGATTCTGTGAAAGCCTCATTAAATTTCATTCAGTGGTATAAGATGAATTGCGGATAAAAGAAGTGTACCCCAAAGCGTAACAGATGGACGAACGTACAGACAGACGGACGGACGACATCCCTATCACTATATACCCTCCCACTTTTCAAGCAGGAGGTATAATAATATTCCCCACCTGATCAATTTCTACCGCCTTTCCTGTTGGAGCCCGAGAAAAGAATTTGTTCTGCAAAATAAATTAAAAATGCTTCTTATAATTCATGCTTTGAAAATTCTTTCTGAATCAGTGGTGGATTTTTTTCCATGCTGTGTACCTTAGCTTCCTGAAACGTTGATATTCTCTCCTTTTCCTGAAAAGCCCGTACCTGCGGATCAGTCACTGAAACAGTCATGAAAATACTGTAAATAATATAACACAAAAATTGAAATCAACTTCTTTAATCTTTTTAACGAACAAACAAACACTCCAAGCATATAAAAAAACATTCGTATAAAGTACAAGAATATTTTTAATTTTTAAATTTTTAAAATTTTTTTTTATAAACCTGCAGTGTATACGTATCCAGGACATACGGCATTACACGTGACACCAAACGGTGCTCCCTCTAGAGCTACACCCTGCAAAAGGATAGTGTTCATTCTTATTTACAGACACTAAGCATATCATTTATCTTCATTCTTGATTTTTTTGCAGCAAAAATGTTAAAATTTTTCATTGCCTGAACATGAAATTTCTTGTAATTCTGGTACATACAATTAAAAAAACATTTCAAATTTAAGGATATTTCTACTAAAAAGTTTAGGTAGCTAGAAAAAAAAAATCAGAAAATAATGTATAAATAGTATAAAACCCTAGATAATCCTATCATTCCGGATTTTGCAGCACTATACACAGCTTTCCCTGGTTGACTGATTAGACCCATCATAGACGATATATTGATAATCCGCCCCCATCCTGAAAATAATAATAAATTACATAGTACACCATTAGAAATTAATTCAATCACTATGTAACTGGAACGCTTGGATACAGTTTAAAGCATACAATGAAAACTTATCATTAGCTGCAGAAAACTAGTATTATTTAAATGTAATTGTACTCTAAAAATAATTTGACTTTTTTTGTTAATGTCATAAAAATACTTTTTGGAGGATATCAATTGATCTTCATTCACTTAGAAAAGGGAACTAAACTAGCATCCACATCTCCTAGCCCCCTGCCTCAGTTGTAAATACTGAGTCAAGGTTCGATGTTCCTGCTTTACTCACGTTTTCTTTTCATGCCTGCTATAAAGTATTTAATGAGATCAAAAGGACTAGTTAGCATAATGCTGATCATCTCATCCCATTTCTCATCTGGAAAATCCTCAATGGGTTTCACATGGTTGATTCCTAAATAACACATATGGCAGCTTAACTCAGTGATGTAAACAAATTGATTCAAATAAAATTCACAAATCCACTAAACCATTAAATCTAAAAGAAAATGTTTTGTACATATCTATTTAAAAAAATCTATAAATTACTCATGTACCTGCGTTATTAACAAGAATATCAACTCCATCGGGATATAATTTTGAGATTTCTCGACACATTTGGTGAACTGAATCACGTGATCGCATGTCACATGGCAGGAAAAATGCTCTCTCATTGCACAAACTGTGGACGGTACGTTTCAAGTTTAATGCTTTATAAGCATAATACAAACAGGATGATTTTCATGAATTTATTGAAAAATTATATTCCTTCATACCAAAAAATATATATTAATTTTATTAAACTATTAATGCTAAAATCTATAGCTTACACAGAGATTATGTAAATCTTATCCACTCTGTTCTCTATTTCACATATAAAAATACACAAGGGAATAATTAACGTACATTTTTTTAAAAAAGTCAAAAAACAACTTTTTTGAGAAAAGTTACACAAATCCTGAAAAATAACGCAAATAATGTCCTTACTTACCCAGGCTAAAATATTCCAGATATATCCATGTTAAAATAGCTTTTATCCAACTAAAACCCCAGCTTTATGCAAATTTGAATCTTAGATCATGACTAACTTTATATAAGATGATTATAGAAAAGTACCCGAGGCCTTCTATTGCTCTCCATAAAATTCAATCCCTTTGCCTTCGAATACTTCGGGTACTTTTCTATTGTCATCCGGGTGAGTTATCTTTTCTTGGGCGCAGAGATTCACACTGTGCAGAAAGCTGGGGTTTTAGTTGGATAAAAGCTATTTTCGATGGATATATCTATATTTTAGCCTTTTTAAAAAACATTATTTGCGCTAGTTCCTTTCAGGATTTGTGTAACTTTTCTCAAGTAAGTTGTTTTTTTACTTTTTTAAAAAATCGTGTGCTACTTTCGATTCTTCCCTTGTGTATTTTTATATGTGAAATAGAGAACAGAGTGGATAAGATGCCCCTGTGCAGAGACTATGTAAAATATGATGATTTAATGATTAATAAATCAATAACAAATACTGAGTAATAATTAACGTACATTTTGAACTCATTCACAAGTTCATCAATGGTTTTTTGATCGGCCAATCCTGTTAAAATAACGGTACATCCCTTCTTGGCGAGAGTTCGAGCAATACCCAGTCCTATCCCGCTGGTGGACCCTGTTACCAAGGCAACTTTACCGGAAAAATCCATACCTAAAATTATGTAAATTTAATCTTAGATCATGACTAACTTTATATAAGATATATTATACAAGGAATGAAAGGTTAATATATATAAATTTGGATAAACCATAAAATTCAATCCCTTTGCCTTCGCATGCTTGCATGTTTAATTTTGACAAGAACGAGGTTTCATACAATACTGCGTCTTTTTTTCACCAGGATGTCTTCTGCTTATCGAAAATAGTTATGCAATATTCACGTGCTGGTCTTTAAAGAAAACATCTTTGTATTTTAAAATTATATGCTTTTTAAAAAAATCAATAAACCATTTCTCAAAAAGGATTTATATGCATAAAGCAAGTTATGCGTTTATATACTATTAATCAAAATAAATAACGTAGCTCTAATTCTTACCGTTTGTCCTTTCAAGTATGGCTGCCCTTTAAGGCCTTTCAAAAATACTGTAACATTGAATTATTATTCAGATAACTGAAAGTAGCAAACTGGACAAAATACTTGTACCTATTTGACCCAAATTTAGTCAGTTATTTTGATGTGATATGTCTTTTGCCAGGCACTGATCATCTGGGCATGTCCTTTTGTGTGTTTCATCTATCTGCATGTACTTCAACTAGCCATTTAGCGTGGTAGCTCAAATAATTTCAAATAAACTCTTCTAAGTACGAGAGTCGTTCAATAAGTAATGCCAAATGCGATTTCAAATTAAGAAATTTCTCAAAAGTATTCCCTGTTAACATTTACATGTGTCTATTAAGGATTTTTCCCATGATATACTTCATCATACTCTTTTTCATGGATGATCACTGATAAATAGAAATCTTCATGACATAGTAAGCCATGTACCTCAAACTCTTCCTTTGATTGTTATCTTGATATTTTGGAATGATCTCACATTGACGGAGATCTAGAAAAAAAAAACCAAAGATAGCACAATCCCTGTAAACGTTCCTTTCTTTCGAATTTCTTTCAAATTTTCATGTTTATTTCACCAGCGATATCGAAAAAAAGAACAATAAAACATTGATGTAACCATCAATTGTCGCCCGGGAAATAAATAAATGGAAATGAGTCTTGATCATCAAACCGCTTAAATTTGTTTGAAAAAAGCATGCGTCGAAATGATGGAGAAGAAAGTCGAGAATATTTTAAAAACTTATACCCGGTAGTCGGATGAAAATCAAACATAAACGATACCCTTTTAAGCTTGATCAATTCCTCAAGTTGCATAAAATATAAATTGAAACCAGACAACATGCATCACTTATTTTCAAAAATGTATTTCACTTTAAGAATATGAAACACGAACTGTGTAAAGTACGTTTTTTATGCGAAAAGTAAAATTCAATGTTTTAAGAAAGGACCTGTCGTTTTTTCGATGGTAAACGGTCAGCAACTTTATATATTAAATATGACAAACATGTATATTTTTACAGATTAACTTTATGGAATTAAATATATTGTGTATCTCGTAATTTATAAAGGGAAAGAACATTCTGATTAACAATCCTTTTAATGTTTAGAAAACCTTTAATTCTGAATAACTTCTCCCACCTCAATCCCCATACACCAACACTTAAACTTATATGTATAGAGCAGCCCGGTCCTCCGGGCTGCAATAAAAACCCGATGACATATATAAGGACTTCTCTCATAGAAAACCTGCTGAACTTTACTCGGCGCAAACTTTAACATAAAGACAAAATCATTGATGACCCGTCCTTTGGTCGTAAATTCATTTATTACCGCACCTTTTTACTGAAAAGAAAACCTGGAAGCATCTCATGTATAATATCCGCACCATTTCTCCATATGATACGAATACTTAAATAAGTAAGTGAGAATAATGACCTTTCTATTTTTACATGCTTCGATTGTACAATTTACAAAAGCATATCATTAGGGCCCCAGATGTCTCCATAAGAAAAAAACCTCTTCCTAAACGGCTCATTAAAAAAATCAAATTTACAGAAGATTGATTAAGTGTTGTTTTACGTCCCATTCTAGAATTTTTAAGTTATAGATACGCCACCATAAATCGGTGAAAGGCTTCAAAATTAGACCAATACACCTAACCATTTAGCAGTTGGGTTCTTCAGCGTGCCAACGCCTACCAAAACAAGGGACCTCCATTTTTAAGTGCCTGACGCTATGCAAAGGACTGATTATTTATGTCTCAGGTTAACGCAGTGGATTACGAAGCGAACGCTCTACCACAAAGGTGCCATGGCTAGTAATTTGATAGAAGAAGAATAATGCAAATGCATACCAGTATACAATTGTATTTTAAACAGTAATTTAGTACAGTGTGAACCGAACTTAAATTTCTGAGGGTGGTAATTTGAAATATCGAATTCACCAGTCTAAAGATACTCAGTAGAAGTTTGAGTTCACATTCAAAAGCAAAAGAAATACTCAATAAGTTCCTGTAGGATGTGAATTTTTTTTAATAAATCGTATTGACATTTTTTAAACAATTGTTTTACAGAAGAAAAAAAAAGCAAGAAACATTAATAAAGCTCTGAAAACTATTAAATATCAATTTAATGCAAGAAAAGAGTTTTACATGTGCACATATCAAGGGTGAAGGACTTTCTGTGTTCACTTTCCAAACACTGAGTGAGCTTCACTTTTGCTGCCTTGACCATGACTAGGAACAGGCATCTCATCTGATCCAACGCACTCTCGACATGTGAAAAAATTGTCAGGGTCCCAATAATGCTTGATTCTCAGCAGTCGATTGTAATTGCTGCCCCAGAATTCTTCTTTCCAGTTATTTAAATCAGCGTTTGCTTCGTTGGGGTACTGGCCATTTCCGTAGGTTGCCAGAGAAGGGGCCATTTCTGCAGCCTTTTCTCGTAGTCCTGTAGTATTTTGAGTTATTGGAGTGATACCCATGGATAACGACATAACAGCTGACCTAAACCCAGGGTGCACGGATGTATTATGAATTCCTACCGCCGATGTCTTTCCTGTAAGTAAAACAACCCTATTAATTTAATAAGGATTGAACTTCTCCTCTGAAGATGAAATATGAAAACATTGAACATTAACCAAGCTTAAAAGTCCCTAGGAATATTACAAAATAGAAAGAAAAAAAAACCCTTGACATTTCAGTGTTGGAAAAAAAAATCGCCGAATAATTTGTATGAAAATCATCAGTCAACATTCGACTTCATAGAATTCAAAGAAAATATTGACTTTAAAAGGAGCTTGAGATCCTTGTATCTCAACTAACTTGTCAAAAGTGTGTTTGATTTTAGAAGCCGTTTGTACCTTCGAAAAGCTTTTCGTATCGAATCAACAGGGAGAAATGAATTTCATTTAGTACTAGTATCTTGTTCCATAAATAAAGTTTTGTTTGTTAGTTTTTCTGGTGAAATATCCAAATACAAAACAGCTGTGTTGGTCCCTGTGTTTTATTTATTTTTTTTTCGAGTTCTAAGGGGAATATCAAATTGTCGTCGAATTAACTAAATGTCAGATTAAAGTTTTTGAATAAATCCTGCTTCAAAAGAAATGAAAAATAATTCTGCTTATAATGACAGAGTGCAAGTATTACCCGTTGGATTTCCAACAGATTGTTTGTTGATAGACTTTATAAAATGCTTTATGAAAAATACTTCATGGAGATTATAGAACGTTCTTTATACCTCCTAGTAGAATTCCTGTAAATGACAAAAATCCCGGTTGGGGAAGTTTGGTCCCTAAAGCTGTAAGCATATACCGAATCCAATCATCCGTAAAACTGTCCATTTGCATTAGAGTATTCAGAAGGAATGTGCTCAAATACGGCGGGTCCTTTGGAGTAGATTCGTACTCTAAAAATGTATTCATGCGTTGATAATCACATCCCCTTTGCCATTCGGGGTGAAAATTTTTCAATTCATCCATATAGGATCTCGTTGGTGCATCATAAGACCCATAATGATTCATGGCCAGGGATATGGTACCCCATGAGAGGTCCGAGTTAAATGTACCAAAGGCTATCAGATATCCGCCCCATTCTGTTGGCATGTTTTTCAACATGGACACTATCTTCTTTAGAACAATGTGACCAATTTCTGTTTTGTCATTTCGCACGATGGGATAAGAACAACCAAATGTTACTACTCCAGATGCTGGATAATGCAGTTTAAATGTGAACTTGGTTACTATACCATACGTTCCACCTCCTCCTCCCCGTAAGGCCCAGAAGATGTCGTTGTTATCGCTTTTTGTAATGGAGTCATTTAAATATTTGATTTGTGTCATATGTTCATTGGCCACGATGATGCGTCCCTCGGCATCCACCATTTCTACCTCTAACAAATTATCAACGGCCAGCCCGAATGTCCTCGACATGGGGCTATGTCCACCTCCAAGAGTATAGCCACCCATACACACAGTGTGAGCACTTCCACCGACTATAACACGATTAACCTTGTCGACCTGAATTACCAAAACAACAAGAAAAAAATTACATACGGTTGGATTGTTGACAGAAGGATTATTGCTTTAAAGAGACATATTACAAATACATTTTCCTATCTCCGATATAGAAGGGTTGCTTTGCTACTTTTCGAGATTCTTTCTATGAAAATCTAATTAGAATATAAAACTGTGTTAAATGAGAAAAAAATCTCGAAAGTGTTTCCAAAATATTATTTTGAACTGAATACATGTAGTTACCGTTTCTCGCCTTTACCAATTTTTTTAAATGTGGCTAGGACAAGCATAAAGTTGTCCATCTAAACAATTATACTCTTTCAGTGAGAGAGGCACCAATTTAAGCAAAGACATGTGAATTTGGGGAGAAAAGAAATTATTTGTGTTTATTATCCTTAAACTAAAACACAGGGGTTACTAATTAAATTCCTACAATACATGCATACGTTCTTACTTCCTCATAAACTTTAAGCCAAGTGTTTCCGCTTTCGCAAGTTATTTCTCCTGCAGGATTTCTTGATGACGTCAAATTAATTGAAGTTTCCGTCATGTTTCCCAGAAGAATTTGAAGACTCCCGTGTGCTGTGGATCTTCCAAGGAAGTCGTGTCCAGACGAGCGAATGGAAACCAGCACGTTGTATTTTCGGGCAAACAAGACCGCTTTTTGGACATCGAGCGTTGATTTGGCTACCACTATTCCTATAGGAAACTTGGTCCAAACCATGTCTCGCGTGATCACATTCTGGGCATATTCTGGCATATATGGAAGCAATAATTCCCCTTCCAATGTATCTCCAAAATTAACAACTACGGGGTTGTCAGGGAAACAGGATTCTCCTGGTAAACATCTATCTACTGCAGATGCTGTACCGAGGACATAGAACACCGCTACCACAAATCTGTTTGTGGAAAAAATATGTATTAAGTTTTTTAAATAACAATCAAATACGAACAAACCAAACAAAAACACCCTTACCTGTTGTGCATCGTTTTGATTCTTGTCTTTGGACAAAAGAAGCGCTTACAACATGTACAAGTATGTATTTATACCTTAGTTCATGACGTCACATTTAATCGATTCAAAGTGTTCTTTGATATCTTTCTCAACAGAAAAAAAATGGAGAGGGAGATGTCTATGTATTTGGAATTCTTAAATAGAAAAAATAAAGGAAGAACTTTGCAAAGCTTTTTAACCGAACATATTCGGGTAGTTAATATCAGCGCTCAAAAATGACTTGGTTGTAAAGCACTAAACTGTGAAGATAAATCATTATATTAAATATACAAGAGTTCCATTGGTCACAATGCTCACCTGATTTACTAAAGTCCAGACTTTTCTACATCATCAGGGTTTTTTTTTATGAAACTCAGATATTCCCTCACCTTGTCATTTGCAAAATAACTTTGTTCACAACATTAAGACTGTACACACAATTACTCTGAAGTTGATATTAAAAGATACTAGAGTTTCTGAATAACAATATCTGTGTGGTGTTATAATGCCTCGGTCACATTTAAGCCGATGGTCGGGCGACAAAGAGCAGTCACATTATTTCCTAGGGACACCGATGACTTGGATGAATAACACAAAAAATCCTTTTTCTTTAGATATAGCAATTTTTTTTTCATAGGTCTATATTCAGATAGGGGACGTGAGTAATGTTTGCAAGGCAAAGTGGCAGAATCTTATAAAATTGTGACTCAGTGATGAAAATGTGTGCAGAATTTGTATGGAATTGCATAAAAATGACAAATGGTGCATATCTAAGCAGCAAAGAATACTTAAGATTACTTTATATCTTACAGATTAATTGTTTATGCTATTTCCTTTCAAAAAATTTATATCAATCCATGCATCAAAATTTTGTTTGTGTTATGTATCCTTAATAGGTTAGATATTCACAAGTCGGCCAATCGTCGCCCGATCATCGAGCTCTGGGCTACAGTTTGGTTTTAACCGTCGGCCGAAACTTTCAACACCCTTATTGTCCAACGACGGACGACCGACTTAATAAACTGACCGCCGATGGTCGGACGATGATCGAAGGTTGGTCGACGGATAACTGCAGTTGAAGAAATCGGCCACCGACGCATGAAAAATTATAACTTGGACCGATGGACACAAAATGGGTCGGCCGACAAAAAAAATAAGTCAAAATCGGCCAAGACAACGGCCGATGAACTGACGACTGTCACCCGAAGAATCCCATTTTTGCTTCAAAACCCGTCGGCCGTTGGTCGTTTTTGGAAATGTGACTGGGGTTTTAGAGACCAGGGGCCCGTTTTACAAAAGAACTAGTTAACTAAGACCAAAATTTATCTTGCTTGTAAATTTATTATCTGCATGAAATTGGAAATAGTTTTAAACCTTTTTTTAAAGGAATGTAGAAAGATACTTTCATGACAGTAATTCAGTTTAATCATTAATTTTGCAAAATTTTACAATCCACTCGAGTTTTTGGTCTTAGTCGTAAGTTCTTTTGTAAAACGGAACCCAGATCTACAGCAAACCCTTTTGCTATTTATTCGGAAAACAAAATTCATCTTAAAATTATAGAGATGTCTCTTATTTTAGAGAGATATCTCTTAAAAAATTAGAGATATCTCCCAACTAAAAGAGATATCTTTCATTTTTAAGAGATATCTCCATGAGAAAGAGATGTCTTTTAAACTTAGAGAGAAATCTCTTATACTTAGAGAGATATCTCTTTTTAAAAGAGAGATATCTCTTCCGCTTGAACAGATATCTCTTTCTCCTTGAGAGCTATCTCTTTCATGAAGAGATATCTCTGAACGTTAAAGCGATATCTTTTAAATCTGGAGAGATATCTTTATTTTAGGAGATATCTTTCCATATTAAAGAGATATCTCTTAAAGTAAAAGAGATATCTCTCCTAATTTATCTTAAGAGATATCCCTCAAAGTGAATGAGATATCTCTCAAAGTGCTAAAAGAGATATCTCTTTATTACAAAGAAATATCTCTCTGCATTATTTTTATTTAAATTCCATTTGAAATGACTTTTCCCTTTACATTAAGTAAGCTTTTATTCACGGAAGTACATTCAAGTATTTTTAAATTTCGACATATTCATGATATTCTACATTATAGCTTTACTAAACATAATAATTAAGTAATTCAGTGTTGTCTAGATTTCAAATTAGTAATATAGCGGATCATTTCATAAGCTGAGAAAATTCGGTCCATTGCATTTGAGATTTTATGCTTACGTTCGTTTTCCTGAATATTAAACTTCTAGTATTTTTATCAACGAAGTTGGCATTATCATTTGTTTTCCCAAACAAGGGATTTACATAATTATAGCATTTTAGTCTACATAGTACATATTTTATTCTGGGTATTGCATGCTCAGTCTTTTTTTTTTTCTTATAACAGCGAAATTATTCCAAAGACTTTACTTCCTATTTCGCTTTCGTTTTAAAGGGGAGAATTAATTATTTTATATCAAGGATGACTGGAAAAGAGATATCTCTTTAGCTTAGAAAGATATCTCTTTTTGAAAATCTAAAGAGAAATCTCTATAAATAAGAAAGATATCTCTTTTAACCTTGTTAAAGAGATATCGTTCTAACTTTAAGAGATATCTCTCTCGCTTAAATAGATATTTCTCTAGCTTATAAAGATATCTCTAAGTAAAAGAGATATCTCTCTTACAAAAGGTGATATCGCTTTCGTTTAAAAAGATATCTCTCTAAGGTATAAACATATCTTTATTAGTCAAAGAGATATCTCTATACGCTAAAGAGATACCGGGGTATATTTCTGTTCTAGACAGATATCTCTCTTATTGAAAAAAAAATATTTCACGAATAAATAGTAAAAGGGCTTGCAATAGAGAATTTCCTCGGTTACCAATTACGTTCCATTATTATTAGGTCTATTTTGTATTTATGTGAATACTGCTTCATTTGACTTGCAAGTTTGCAAGTTGAATTTTACTTTTAAATCGTTATTTTCTTGCTTATAAAGAAATAGTCCCATTGTTTTAAATGAAAATTTAAAATTTTAAAAGCAATAGCAAAACAATTTTTGGGAGGGTATACTTCTCCTTACTTTTTTCACAGCAGGTTTTTTTTTTTTTTTTTTTTTTTTTTTTAGAAATAAGGTTCTTTTTAATGATAAAATACCATATAAGCAGATTTTAGCAAGGATTTAATTTTGACATTTTTAGCGAGGATGCCGAGATCGCAAAATTGAATACCGCTAAAAATCAATTGCATTTTATTTGTAATTGCTTCTTTAGTGAGAATTTTGAAATCGCTAAAATGGCTTAAAATAAAAAACAAATTTTTAAATCACTTAATTTGCATCTCGCTTAAATTTCCACTTATGTTATTCTCATGTTTAATTGAATGTGTTGTTCGGCAGGAAGTTACATATAGCTCAACAAGAGGCCCATGGGCCAAAACTCTCACCTAAATAACTTTGGCTCTGCTGTACTTCACTAGATTTTCCTCATTTTATACTTACTGTGACCCTAACCTACAACAATTTGGATTCTACAGTACGTTACGAAGATTAAACATACTAATAAGTTTAAACTTTTCTGGCACTGGATCTCGAGAACAGGATTTTTATTTTTTAGCTCACCTGAGCCGAAAGCTCAAGTGAGCTTTTCTGATCAAAATTTATCCCTTGTCTGTCGTTGTCGTCGTCGTAGTTGTCGTTAATTTTTCACATTTTCATCTTCTTCTTAAGAAACACTGGGCCAATTTCAACCAAACTTGCTACAAAGTATTCTTGGGTTAAGGGGATTCAAATGAAGGGCCAAGCCCTTTTTCAAGGGGAGATAATTATGAATTAGAGAAAAATTAATGACATTTTTAAAAAATCTTCTTCTCAAGAAGCACTGGGCCAGGAAAGATGAAACTCACAAAGAATTATCCTCAGCTAGTGTAGATTCAAATTTGTTCAAATCATGACCCCTGGGGGTAGGGTGGGGCCAAAATGACCGATCAAAGTTTTAAATAGGAATATATAGGAGATATCTTTAAAAATCTTCTTCTCAAGAACCACTGGGCCAGGAAAGATGAAACTCATGTATCAAAGTTTTAAATCATGACCCCTGAATATATAAAGTTTTACATAGGAATATATAGATATCTTTAAAAATCTTCTTCTCAAGAACCACTGGGCCAGGAAAGATGAAACTCATGTAGAATCATCCTCAGGTAGTGTAGATTCTTTGTTCAAATCATGACCCCTGAAGGTAGGGTGGGGCCAAAATGACCGATCAAAGTTTTACAAAGGAATATATAGGAGAAATCTTTAAAAATCTTCTTCTCAAGAACCACTGGGCCAGGAAAGATGAAACTCATGTGGAATCATCCTCAGGTAGTGTAGATTCAACTTTGTTCAAATCATGACCCCCGGGGATAGGGTGGGGCCAAAAAGGCCGATCAAAGTTTCGTAAGAATAAATAGGAGAAATCTTTAAAAATCTTCTTCTCAAGAACCACTGGGCCAGGAAAAATGAAACTCATGTGGAATCATCCTCAGGTAGTGTAGATTCAAGTTTGTACAAATCATGACCCCTGAGGGTAGGGTGGGGCCAAAATGACCGATCAAAGTTTTACATAGGAATATATAGGAGAAATCTTTAAAAATCTTCTTCTCAAGAACCACTGGGCCAGGAAAGATGAAACTCATGTGGAATCATCCTCAGGTAGTGTAGATTCAAATTTGTTCAAATCATGAACCGGGATTAGGGTGGGGCCAAAATGACCAATCAAAGTTTTACATAGGAATATATAGGAAAAATCTTTAAAAATCTTCTTCTCAAGAACCACTGGGCCAGGAAAGATGAAACTCATGTGGAATCATCCTCAGGTAGTGTAGATTCAAGTTTGTTCAAATCATGACCCCCGGGAGTAGGGTGGGGCCAACATGGCCGATCAAAGTTTTACATCCAAATATATGGGGAAACCTTTTAAAATGTTCTTTTCAAGTACTTCAAAGCCATGCTTAGTGATATTTATAGGGAAACATCCTCAGGTAGTGTAGATTCTAGTTTGTTCAAATCTTGACCCCCTGGGGGGTTAAAATTCAAGCCCCCCCCCCAATCAGTAAACTTTCAGTTCTGATCTGATATGTGCTTTTTCCTAGCCAATTACTCAGGTAAGCGATGTGGCCCCTGGGCCTCTTGTTTTCCTATATATTTCAATGTAAACCTTTGATTCCCAGTTGTGGTCCTCTCTTAACCCCGGGGGCCATGTTTTGGACAATTTAGAATCTACACTATCTAAGGATGCTCTCATATAAGTTTCAGCTTTTCTGGTCCATTGGCTTTTGAGAAAAAGAAGTTTCGCAATTTTTCCTATCTATTTCAACTTTAAACTTTGATTCTCGCTCCGCCCTACCACGGGATCCATTATTTAAACAATTTAGAATCTACATCATCTAGGCAACCTTCCACATTATTCAGTTTTTTTTTTTGCTCGGTGATTCTTGAGATATTTTAATGACCCCGCCCTATTTTTGCCTTTTCTTGATTATCTCGCCTTGGAAGGAAGCATGATTCTTCAATTTTTTCAATTTAGAATCACCTTCACCTCGGAATGCTTTGTACCAATTTTGATTAAAATTGGCTCGGTGGTTCTTGATAAGCTGAAAATGTGAAAAGCTAAATTAAGGCCGACGGACACCAGGTGATCAAAAAAGCTCGAGCTTTTAGCTCAGGTAAGCTAAAAAAAATTTTCACCCCATGCCCGATATACAAGGATTATCCAAGAATCATAACAACCATATCTCTAAAAAAAATATTTTCAATTAATCATTTATAAACTACAGAAAATCTACCAAAAGATTTTATTGGCGTTTCATTAATCGCTTGTACACTATACGACCAATATTAGTTATTTTATTAATTTGCCATTAATTCTTTTTGCAATATTTATGATGGACAAATAATATTACACTACACATATTTCTAAACACTTGAAGTATACCACGCAGATAAAAACTTTAAAATTACGACTCAAACAAATTCAAGTTAATAATTTATCAAAGATATACAAAATTCTGCCACATCAAAGCCATTAAAAGAGCAATGCACTTGTAAAACGCTGGTAAGAAAAATCATATTTCTTATCTAGAAACTTTGACGAATATATATCTAAGCAGATGTCACAAAGCAAACAAGATTCCCCCTTCGGCACAAAAAGAACTCCAACTGCCCTACATATATGTAGAAGCAATATGGATAGCACTTGAATGACTTGAAAAATCAATCAGCTCCATGTCGGGCCAGAGACATAAGAATTATCAATAATTTAAATCGTATGCTATTGTTTCTCTGTTTAACAATCAAACTTTTTCCTCTTTATTAGATAAATAAATGGGTTAAAAAACAATCGTCTAAAAGGAGAAGAATAGATTATACTAGTATGAGATCGAAATGTAAACAAAAGAGTTAAATACATAATTATACGATCAAAATGAAACACAGATCGCTTGTAACATACCTTTGTACTAAATAAATTACTTATAATAAATATTCTAATACAATGTACACGACCACAGATATCCTTCAAAAATATATACAGTCATTTAAATATCAATCTTCTGTTTAAAAAATTTCTTCTTTTATAACAATGTGTAGTATCTAAATATGAGTTTAACAAATATCAACAATCTAACAAATATTTTTCTTTTATCTTATGTGTCCTAAACTGAAAAGAATCTTTGACAGTTAAAAAAAAAAGATTAGACATCATGATAGAAAGAAGGATATGGAGATAACGAACAGTATTCAATATCAAAGTCCATAAAACAATACAAAATAGGGGCAGAGCAAACGTCGTTCAATAAAGATACATTTAATTTTTTCAACGAGCGATAAACAACTTACAAAAAAGTCTAACGCCATTTTTCTCAATGGACATCTTTCGTACAATGTGCCATTGAAATTAACGTCTTGTAAACTATATTTAAGGAATTTAAAAAAGAAACACATTCTTACCTTATGTAATAAAACGATCATTTTTGTTTTATCAGAAGTAATAACCGTAAACAGCTAGGGGTATATATAAAAAAGCTTCAACAACTAGTATAGGCAAACCCAATCATACAAAACTTCATTTTCTTAAAGAAACGGTGTGTTTATTTAATTTATTGTCATTATGCGTTGTCAACGGTTTGCAATATTATTCTCTCAGAATTGATAATTTAACATGTTTGCAGCATCGGACCATGCAGGGTGTCTAGCATCGTCCATCTCTCCTGCAAATTGATTATCGTCGCGGAGTCGATGGTTGCTTCCACCAATTGTCGCTCCACACTCCGAGCAACTGCTCTCCACTGTAGCCCCTCCACAGTCCCCAATCACGTAGTAATGACCTATGAGCAAAATAGATTTAGATTTGAAGAATAAAAAAATTAAACTAAATTATGCTTGCATAATGCGGTAAAACAAGTATTTGTGTGGATTAAAGTTTTCATTCTCAAAATACTTACCATTCGGACATTTGAACCAATGACCCTTCTGTTGACCCAAAGCTTTCACAATTTCGATTCTCTCCTTATGTGAGACTCCAAGCCCACCAGCAGGATATTTATTTTTCAATTCCGCCAAGACATTTTTCACCAAAGTTTTCTCCTTTTCGTTCAATTTTTTGCCCCCTTTCAAAAGACTTTCCACAATAGTAAGGTTTCTCTTAAGCTCTTTTTCCGTCGGTTTTCCAAGAGAAAGCATTCTTTCGATATATTCAACAAAAAGTCTGAATGATTTAAGTCGAAAGATTTCATCCTCTGCATCCATCAGCTCCTGCTCCGTGAAATATCGTCTGGGAAACAGTGTCCATTCCCTGAAGTATTTAAGATCTTTGAGACAATGTTTTTTGAACATTTGCTGAAGATCGACATTGTGTATGTATCTCTCCCATTCGTGTTCAATTTTGTTCAGGGCCTTCAAAAATTCAATTTGATTTGTAACGGCCAGCAAAGTGTTTTCATCAACATTTGTCTCAAAAAGCTGATCGAAGATTTCTCTCATTGCTTTTCCATCCACTGGAAACTCTGCCGTCAGCGTTCGTATTTTCCCTGGAATATCATTCCGCATAATACGAATGCGTTGTCTGTCCCCAATAATTTTTCTCTTCACCGCTTCTATGTCTAACACCGCCTCTTTCACTTTATTTCCGTATCGCATATTTCGACGAATCAGTGTCTTACACTTAGGACACTCAATAAGCTTTACAAATGTGTCATTTTTGTCACTCTGTCCAAAGTTGTCAATATAATGATCCAGCATCTCCACCTCGAATATGTGACCGCAGTCTTCCAGTTCTACAAACCTTGCATCGTCCTCGTCTTCTGTACCAAAGAATATTTCCGTCACTTCCTTTTTATTGCAAATGCGGCACTTTCTTGGACAAGGTTCTCCACAAAGACCAATACATTGATGCCCACAAAGAAGTTGCAGACGACAGGGCATATTACATGGAGGACGATTACACGGCTCAAAACATCTTTTAGTACATTTGTAGTGTTCACACCTCCAAGCACACTTCTCTACGCAAGGTATGCATACTTCCCCACAGGCCAATGTGCATCTGCTGTGGACACAACGGTTATTGCATCTTTTTGCACACGGAGGACATTTCGAACATTTATCTGGGCAGATATGGCCACAGACCAGAGTTCTTCCACATTTACTTTTACATCCTACGTGTAATCTACCATTCAAGCATTTACCGCAAGTCCCCTTACATGTGTGCTCGCAAAACAGCATTTGCTTGCATGGTTCAGAGCACAGAGCTGATTCTGCTTCAAAACAAAGAACAGGCAATTCATGACCACATTTGAATTTTGTAACAACTTGATATTGACAAAATTCTGTGTGTCGTTCTCCACACAGACTCTGGCATATATGGCCACAAGGAAGACGAGTATCACATTGTGCCATGCACTTAAACTGATATGGTTTAGTTGAACATGGAACTTGTTGGGTATGTCCACAAGGCAGCTTTTTTGGCACTGGTATTGAACATTCACCACAGTCTTGGTAACACATTCTTCTGCATCTGTGGTCTTCATTATCACAAATACGCTTTTGACATGGTTTCCTACATTTATATTCTTTATGGTCGGCATTGATCACATGACAAACGAGGGCACACGTATGCCCACAAGGTAGCCTGTGTTCACATGGCTTCATACATCCTCCTTCTGGTGCCTTTTTAAAATCCTCCGGTTCCGTTGCATGGATTCCTACATCGTCTGGATGATTTTGGCAATATAAACGTAATCCTTCTCCATATAAATTCTTACGTTTAACATGGTCAACAACTTTTCTCCAAAGATCACTGTTACCAGACATAAGGTTTAAATTCCCGATGACATAAAATCCCATCTTAGCACGGGAAAGAGCAACACAAACTCTATTCTCTATTTTCAAAAAGCCTATCTTTCCTTCATCATTACTGCGAACCAATGATAGGAGAATAATATCATTTTCTTCTCCTTGGAAATTGTCTACCACTGTTATTCTTATTCCATAAAATTCTTTTTTTGGCATCAATTTCTTCAGCTGGAAAAGCTGTCCAGAATACAATGTTAAAATTGTGATTTGCTCTGGGTCATATCCTTGTAGTTTGAGATATCGACAAAGAGCCACAATGTATTGAGCTTCGTAAAGGTTGGAGTGACTTCTCTGTTCATCATCATTACTTTCGGGGTAGTCATGATGTATGAAATACATGTTCTCTGAAATCCCTCTCACGTCCGGATAAGTTTTTACTTCGTCATGGTCTTTTAACTCTGGATAGATGATTCTCATCATTTCCGAAATAGCTGGACGCATCCTATGTTGAAGATTTAAACAGTCACACTGCATTCCATTTTTCACCATTCTTTCAAATAATGATACGTCCAGATTATAATCCTTTGCAAGTTTATACACTGTTGGATTTGGCTTTAACTGTTTGTGGTCACCAATAAGAATCAAGTGTTCACAACCTTGGCTCAACGTTGTTATGATATGCGCTTCAAGAACTTCTGCAGCCTCTTCAACAACGATGACTCTTGGACCAATTTCCTGAAGTACTGACTGATATCTTGCAGCCCCAGTTGTTGTCATTCCAATAATTGTTGCTAAGCGCATTATCTGCTGGTCTTCCTGCATATGGATTTCGTTTAATCGAGCCGCATTTCTTTCATATTCTGCTTCTTTACCACGAATTTGTTCTCTGTATACACAGCAGAACTTGTGTGTCCAGTATCGATACAATCGCCATTTTTCTTTTTGAGTCAAATTCCAAACATCATGACCCATCCTCTGCAAATTTTGAAACTCTCCTTCAGACATGCGATTTGTAGATCTTAGTTCTTTACGCAATTTTGATTTCATTTTTTTCTTCTGTTTCCTATCAATTTGCCATTCCATGTCGCCTTCTTGTTCATCCATTTCTGACACATTCAATGCTACAGCCTTTTTCTTTATTTGAAGATTCGCTAGTTTTCTTTCTATATCTTCGGGAAGACCAAGGCCTGCAAAATCTAAGTCATCCAAATCAAGATCATCTTCATTGTCCAGCTGTCTCATCTCTACCATTTGATCAGCATCATCAAAGACATCAATTTGTTCCTCTGGATCTTCCTGCAATTCATCAACGAGATCTCCATCTTCATCAACTTCTTGTCTTCTCTGTTCAACCGGCACTTCTACATCGCCATGTTCTATGTCTAGTAAGGTCCCATAGCCGAGCCATTCAACAATGGCAGATGATCCCTTAATTTTCTTGAGAGAAATGTTGGGATCATGATAGTGCACATACTGCTCAAATCCTTGGACAAGATCATTGTAATATTTACCCATATAAGGTTGTAAATAATCCTCATGTATAACCTCTCGTTCAGCAATTTCTATTTTCATCGCAATGGCGTTGATGGCTTCTCTTATTTGATTCAATTCCCATCCAATTCTACGGGCTTCCCTGGATATGTCACCATGAATTTCCCTACTTTTCCTCATATTCATGCGATAAGTATTGATGTTATATTTCTTCAATTGTTCACTAGAACTTCGTCCTCCAACTCTCAATACATCCCCTTGATAAAAACTTAATATTCCTTCTAGGAACTGGTCCAAAGCATGATTCGTATAGCAGACAATCAACATCGGTCTGTGTTCAACAACACCTTGTATGTTAGTGTTCCATATTTTGTGATTGTGTAGCAAGGCTTTTACGATTTTGAGACCAATGTACGTCTTCCCTGTACCCGGAGGCCCTTGGGTAATGACAAACTCCTTAGTAAGAGCATTTTGCACGGCCTTATATTGTGAGTCGTCCAAATACAATTGATCTGCAGAGGGCCATTCATCAAAATCTGTAATCATCACATTTCCAGCCCTGGCAGAGAGACGACTAAAATTGTATGTGGGCTCACGCAAAACGGGAGCTCCCAGATTTCTTAACTTTATTTCTCCTTGCAGCATGATATCATTATCAACGAGAGGACGGAGATCATAATTCGCATTT